CGTCATGACGTCATGTGTGCTAGTTACGGGGGGGTTTGCAGAATATCTTGATATGTAGATCATGTTTGTATCTTAAAACATTCTGAAGTTATGAAGGCTAGAAGTGACCTACCATTTTGCCCACAAACTGCGGTCTTAGGGTCCGAGTGAGAGAATTTATTAACTCCTAATGACAATTCTTGACCAGCCTTACCAGTCAGTTCTGAGACTCTGCAACTAGAAAGGTACGCAAACGTTTGCCCATGCCACATTTACTATTATGTTTGCTTCTTCTCACTTCAAAAATGAACAAAACATGTCATTTGGCCAGTGGTGCCCACACTTTTGCTGCATTTTTTAATTATCTGAGATTAGTCACACAGTAAAAGATATACTTGTTACATCTTGTTACGGGTAAGATTTGATCGCTTTTAATAAGAAGCATTTAAGATATTTATTTTATTTTAACATCACTATTGATGCTCTACAGTTTTCATGGTTGTTATGGAATATCAACAGCTCTGTTCATCACTCTAGACACATCTAAATTTTGCTTAATTTTTTTTTTTGTTTCTCACAAATTATCTGAAACCAGCATCATATTATAATCATTTTATGAAATATCTTCAACACAACTGGCCATATACCATTTAAAAGAATGACTTCCAAACAGTGATTTATGAGCCCTCCATACTTTAATATATGATCATAAGAATGATTAAGTGCAAAGAAAGAACCACCCCAACACACACACCCTGAGTTTCTAGCTGTGAATAGTCTCAGCTCAGTCTCTGCTCCTGATTCCACAGCAACAGGCATAAGAGGTGTTTGTGCCACAGTTCATTGTGACCTATGAGTTTAGCCTCACGGCTGCTCCCACCCCGCCTTTCAGGCTCAGCTGGCAGGGTGCAGCTTTTGTTTTACAGGGAAGCATGAATATGGAGTGAGGGAAGAATCACCAGGACTGGCTGGCTTACTGCCAGTATCTGACCTCAAAACAATTAAAGACCTCACGAGTCATAACAGAACACGATCGTGTGCAACATTCATGAGTTATCAGCTGCTCACTCTGGACTGCCAGGCTTGATTCAAGTAAACCTTAATCATTCATTCATTTCACCACATTATATGTGCCGCATCCTTTGAGCCAGAGATTTAAATCTCCTTCAGCGTCATTCAACACTTCCTGTTACAAATCACTGACTGAAGCCTGGTTGTCAAGGTGATGAGCAACAGTGCCCTGAAGATACTGAAAAAAGGAGGGGACAAAAAAAGACCTGGTCACCTCGACCCACTGAAGTGAGGCTCTAGATACGAGAAGGGAAGAGGCTTCGAAGCAGATTTGAGGGAGTTTAAAAAGTAATAGGAAGAATTTTTTTTTTACATTTTAATTAAAGACCCCATTAAGTGTAAAACCAAGTGTTTTCACCCCATTAGGTGTAAAACCAAGAGGTCAATTTCCTACACTGTAAAACTCACTGCACGTCTTAATGAAAGAATTAAGTTAATATAACTTAAATACTACAGAAATTTGGAGTAACTTAATCTGAAAAAATCGAATTAAATCAAAAATGAACAGACAGTAACTCAGTCATTTTGAGTAAGATTATTTTGAGTTGAGGTAACTTTATTTAAATGTATTATATTCACTATTTTTATTTAACTTGACTTCACATGCAAATACAAACAGGCCAATAATGGATTGTTTATAAAGACTGTTGAAAATTTAGTGTGGCTTAATGTGACAGATGACATAAATGTTTTCATTTGAATGATTTGGACTACATCTGTACTCTGGACTGTACTGTCAGTGTTTGGAGAGGTGGTCTGTAGTGACATTAAGGTGGACAAGACCTTGTTACAAATGTCTTTGATCATATCTCTGCAATGCAATACAATATGAATTAGTCAAAATGATAGCCTATTGGTGAATTCAGTTTATAATTAGTTAATTATTTTGAGTTAGAACAGCTTAAACACAAGACTCCAATATTCAATCATTTTAAAATCAACAAAACAAACTGAGTTAGAACAATTTACTCAATTTACTGAAGTGCAAATGAGTTTTTGAACTTAAAACATTTGAGGTGATCAGTTTCCTCAAATCATTTGAGTTGACTTCACTCATCAGGTTTTACAGTGTGTGTAAACATTGTTCATGCCCCAGCCTTTACAGTCCATATATGGAAACTAGGCTGCAAAACAGCCTGTTTTTGAATTCACTATTTTTTGTAGGGTCATGTAAAACATACATATCGCTGCTGTTGGAACAAAACCTTGTATCCCCAAAATGGTAACTTTACAGGAGAAGGAAAAAACCTACTTTACTTGTAATGTAAGTCAATGGAACCAGATTTTTTTCCAAAGTAATTTTGGGTCATTTCTTTTGATCCAGTCATCACGAAATTTACACAAAATGTAAAGTGTTTTAGCCTGAATGTCTTTCTGAATAAGGCACAATACAAGACAACCAATCAAAACAGAGATCATTTACATATATTACTCTTAAAGGCACTGTAAGAAAAGCTGCTAGTTTAATTCTAAGGTGATAATAAGAGGTTGGGAGATGGTCATGCAAAACTGAATGACTGTTTCTGGTACACAAAACTATACAAATGTCAGTAAGTGGATCCCAAAACTGAAGAGAAATATAAGGTATAGGCCCTCTGGGTTGCACCTCCAAGTGGCTACTGAGATATGAGAAGACATGAATGCCAGGTCTAACCATGAGAGACAGTGCAGGATATGCAAGAAATGGTCAAGGCTAAGTGTGTAATAGTGACTAAAGCCATTCAAGCCATTATATCAGTAGTGTGTGACAATTAGTGATGCTTTGAATTAGTGCTGGGCAGTATGGCCTAAAATCAATATCACGATTAACTGAATATGTTTACCTCGATAACGATTAATGAACGATTATTTTGTTGTTTGTTTGTTTTTTTTGCCCTCATAGTTCACTGACAAGGTTTGTACTGTAAATATGTTCTGCATATATTAATGTAAATCATCTCAACAGCCAGATCGAAATTTACACGCGGCTTTTACGTCAATCCAACTCGACATTCGTCATGATTTCGTGCTGCTTAGACCTCATAAACATTTGGGCTGATATTTCTGTACAAAAATTAGAAGAGACTCATCCAAAACCTTCCATGTTTGAAGAGATTTTGAAAGAAATGGCCAGAGGTGGCCGCAGGAGAATGAGGCTGCAGCGTCAAAGAACAGTTAAAAGTCTGAAAGCAAAGTTTAAAGAATCCGAGGACGCAAACCAAAGAAGTGACCGCGCCCTTTTACGGCTCGAACACATTCTGGGTGATGAGCTCATCTGTCAGTCAGTGAAGCTTCATGATGGCTCATGTGATGCTGGTGAGGATGAAACTGATCCTTCGGGAGCGACTGGCATTCGTTGGCAGTCGTGATTGTTTACCTCTGGATGAGCCGTGAAGCAGCGTGATGCTCTGTACTTTTGCACATGCGGGTCAGTTTAGGAGCTGATCTGTTCAGACTGATGTCACATACAGATCACATTTAAAAGATAATCTGAACAGACAAACAAAAAAAAATCAGATTTGGTGAGAAAATCAGATTTGGGCCACTTTTACCTGCTGTGTGAACGTAACCTTAGCTTCCATGTCGCAGACTGGATGTGGCGGAGTCACGTGACCACACGCCATAGTATGTTTTAAGGGGACGGTACATGAAGGATTAGCAGAATAAAAAAAAATCTAAATGACCGACATGGGCAAGATTACGTCGGTTAGACGTTCTGAATGTCGGTTTCGATTACTTTTCGATTAATCGCCCAGTCCTACTTTGAATGACCCTCACATGGTGCAGCTTTGCTTTACTTAAGCATCTCAAAACTGAATGTTAGATCATTTGAGTGGCAGCAAATGACCAGCTGCCCAAATTGGAGATGTCCATGAAAAAGAAAGAGCACCTCTCCGATGTGACCCTTGTCACGATATTAAACATGCATTAAATGATGATCTGGAGCGGAAAATCAACTTCAAAGGGTAAAGTGGTTTTGTCCTTGAGCTCTGTGCCAGTCTCCTGGTTACGTGGCACACATAAGCACCAGACCCTCTCTTGACTGACTCAGCTCAAACAAAGCACCTGTCTAAGTCTTACAGTGCTGTAGACTTTTTCTGCACGAGAGGTTTCTAAACATGTTCTTAATAAAACGGCATATGATGGAAAAAAATAGCTTCTGATATATAGGCTACATTTAATACCCAATATGAACGCTGTGTTCATTCATTCATAAATAAATGAATAGATCTTCAGATTCTTTTAATATTTGTGAGTTCACAGTGTTCTCAGAATGATCGAAATTCACCACATAAGACTGGATCATGCGCACATCTTTTGAAAATGGGTCTTTTCAAACCATCGAATCAAGTAACACTCAGCACCTTGGCAGGAATGTGAATATCTTATCTGGAGAAAAGGTCGAGCCTCCTCCACACACTGCTGGTGCAAAGACAGATGATGGGCCGTCCCGACTTTCAGTCCCTCCAAAAACTCAGCACTGGCCACAGCTGTTTTCTGAGGGGCCTGCCGTCGCACTGTGGATGTAAATTTAAGGAACACTATTAGGTCAGAATTCTCCAGGATGGTTTCTCTGTGCAGCTGCTGGACTCCAGATTCACACTTACCTGATCTACAGCTGGTAGTAGTTTTGGGTTCCACAGAAGGTGAGATATGAGTGCCTGTGTGTGAGACCTATGATGCAAAATAGTGAAGAGTGCTTATTAATAAGTGTTCATCCTTGGGGTATAAGGGACTAACAGTGAGCAAGTTCAAGAGGAAAGAAGGATCATAGTGTCGATTTGTAAGAATCTCATTTTAAAGTGAACAAAAACAGGCTAAATCAAAATCAACGGACTGTTCCTGAGACTATTTTGGACTCGTGTTATATTATTATTTTGGAGACTGAGCCACACGAGGCGCATCTCTTGTAGCTGCACAGCCTTTCACCACAAGGAGGGATATTTTGGGAAGGTCCCTTTTTTCCTCCGATGCGGGGCAGCTTAGACTACAACCAAGAAGCGAACGGTGAGGGTCGGTTCCGTCCTGCGCTCCGAGCTCGTTTCAGCCTACACCAGGGAATGGAAGCTAAAGCCAGCGACGGCTGCGCGGTGAACGCAGCGGCGGATCCGTCAGGTAGCAGAGCGATAGATTTCAGTGAGTTAATGGAGAAGTACGCGGAGGTGAACTTTGCTCATGGAAAGAGCTCAGGCGAGGACAGAGCCGCGGCCTGCCTCCCCATAGCCGTGCGTAATTTCGGAAACGCCGGGTCTCCGTGCGCGCTCTCCGGCTCGAACAATGACGTCCTGGCCGAGTTCGCTCCTCCTGCGGAGAAGTCGTTCGGCGCGAGCGAACTTCTGAAACTCGAGCCGGCAGAGTGGCGCGATATAACTGACAAAATACTCCACCTTAAGGACACTCCGGACAGTCTGGAGGGGTCTGTTCCCTCAGGGACGGCCATGTGTAAGTTCATCAAAGACGAGAGCGAGCCCTCGCTGATTATGGAGCCCCCTCAGCCCCCTCACCGCGCGGGTGATTTCGAGCTAGCGTCGGCCGTTGAGCCGTTGGCCGTTCCGGAGGACTCCGCGGCTCTGCTCGCCGCCGCCGCCGGCCAGCAGCTAGGGGTGGACAGCTCGACCAACTTTTTGGTGGACCTGAACCTGCCTAACTCGGCTGATCCAGCCTCGTTTCCTCAGCTGAGGGGAGACTCGCGGCTCGTGCCCGCGGCCAAAGCCATGCTGAACTTGGACGTCGTGAACGCGCCCTCACCGCAGCACCTGCTCATGTGTAAGAACGAGGGGGGGCGGTGGCAGAACTCACCTGCCGATTTCTGGAGCCAGTCGGCCGTGCTGAGCGAGGAGCAGCACGGGCAAAGTGGCTACTCAGGGCCGGACGCGCTCAACGGCTCAGGGTTCGGTCAGCGGGCAGCCACCTACTGCGCGTTCCCGCGGTGAGTGTTATTACGCATGCGCATGAGCCTTATTGCGCTCATTATGCTCGCTGGCTTCTTTCATTCTCGCCCTCTTTACCTGTCTCTGGATTTCATTTCGTTTCTTTTCTAAAGCAATTATCTACTAGTATATGATTCCTATATTATTGTGGGTCCCTCATTCTTCTTTTTGCTTCACAAAAAAAGATTTATAATAATAATTTAAAAGCTTTAGTGCCATATATAACTTCCAAAACCTATTTTTGCATGGTGTAGTATTGCTGTAGTGTACTGTCTTATAGTACTGTACTGAGTAATACTTGTCTGGTAGTATAATATACTAACTTTCGGAATTCACTATCAGATTCCTCAGGATTCTCAGTATTTCTGTCTACTATGTACGTATTACGATCTGTCCTACTTTTCTGTTATTTATTTCTCTCTGAGCTTCAACCCTCCTCCAGGAGGTCGACCCATGTGCAGAGTTACATTCCAACCGAAGTCTCTTTTAAACTGACCACTGGTTGGTGACCACGGCCATAGGATGTAGCCATTCTGTAGTTGACCGTCACAGCAAAGTTTTATACTCTCCCTGATCTAATGCCCCAGATTCAGCGCAAGAAGGCCTCGATCATTAGCTGATGCAAAAATTTGGGCACCCTTGGTCAAATGACGTTTTGTTGATTTTTTTTAAAGAGAAAATAAGTGAACAGTCCTCTTCTGCACACTGTAATGCTCAATTACTGATTATTTGCTAAATTTAACATATTGGAATAAGATGCAAAAGGTATGCCACATTTTAGGGTTTTTTTTTTTCCAATACAAAAATAGTTGCTATATCTGCCATATTGAAGTTTGTTAATTGTAAAGCATGTGTTATTTCTTTTTCACTTCAGAAAACAACAAAATAAGTGATCTGACTGGGGGTTTTCAAACTTTTGCTTTCAGCTGTAAATAAAATGTAAATGAAATTATAAAGCTGGGCCTCTAGAACTGGAGTTTGGCTGTAATATAGAGGAGAATTAGCCTAAGCTGCTAAAGGACAGGCTATGTTAATTTGTCCAAACTACCAAATATCAGGTAAAATATCACATTTGTCAGAAGAAAACCTTGTATCTCCAAAATGGTAACTGTACGGGAGAAGGAAGAAACATACTTTACTTGTAATGTAAGTCAATGGAACCAGACTTTTTTCCAAGTCATTTTGGGTCGTTTCTTTTGGCCCATTCTTCATTAAATTTACACACAATGTAAAGGGCAACAGGCAATTTTTAAAATGCTGTCAAGAACTGAAAAACGATGGAGATATGAGGTTTTCTTCTGACAGTAGCGATATACTTGTTTTTGGCCATTACATCACCACTGATACTTTATCTACACTGTGTTTAGTGTCCCACCTCAGAGAATGTGTGTGATATGTGGAGATGAAGCCTCAGGATGTCACTATGGAGTCCTTACATGTGGAAGCTGCAAGGTGTTCTTCAAGAGAGCTGTGGAAGGTGAGGAAATGAATACCTACAGATTCATTTTTGCATCTGCAAAAGACTAAACAGCTAAACAGTGCATCATCATGCCAAACAACAACAACAACATCTCCCAGAGAATGTACAACAGATACAATATGAACAGGACTGATATCTCATACAGTTAGTATGCAAGTGATTATATTGTAGTTTTTACAGTATTTCTTAAACTATAGCATATCTGTGAAATTCTGTGGAATCATACAATCCAGATATCCAATAAAAAGGCATTTGTCATAGATAACAAAGCACTGCTTGAAGGAAATAGGTCCTAATGATTTTTTAAAAATGACTTCTTAGGAAGTATAAGGTGTGTATATAAACAGGAGATGTGCAACGAACATGTTTCAAGTCTGTGAATCATCTGTACACATTTTGCAGTGGTCAGTAACTAGGCTATCATGTGGACCGTAAATAGTGTTCATAGTGTTCTCATTTTCACACTTGTTATTCTCCTTATCTTCCAAGGCAGATATGTAAGAGCCACAATGTCTTACCATGGCCATGTCACCCTGTCCTCCCAGCCTTGCCCCAACTACTCTGCTCTCCATGTTCTACTATTCTTCCTTTTTCTTTCTTTCAGTGCTCTCTCTCTCCCTCTCTCTCTCTTCTCTTCTTGTCTTTAAATTCTGTGTGGATTAAAGAATACAGTGTCCATAATGATGATTTCAAAGGAACAGCCTCGCATGTTTTATCCCATTTAGACTAAAGGGAGTTTCCTTTATTTGTGCGTTAACAGTGCTTTTGCTATTGTGTAGGACATCACAACTATCTTTGTGCTGGGCGAAATGACTGCATCGTGGATAAGATCAGGAGAAAAAACTGTCCTGCTTGTCGACTCAGAAAATGCTACCAGGCCGGGATGATGCTTGGAGGTACTTTATATATGCATGAACCTCTAACCTTCTACCAGATCAAACATCTTAAAAAAGTAGGATCACATAAAAGGAGGCTATTAAGAGGAAGTAAAACCCATTATCTTTGATCATCAGACCATTGGCCAGTAGTTATATTGCAATGCAAGGGCATGTCCACCACTGTGTTTCATCACCTCTTCTTTAAACAACACTCTGTAAGCGTTTCGGAACTGAGGAGACACTGCTGTAGTTTAGAAAGTGAAATGTTTTCCCGTTCTTGTTTGATAGAAGATTTCAGCTGCTCATTAGTTCAGTCTCCTTTGTCATATTTTTCATTGAATAAAGTGCCAAATGAATTCAGTGGTGACAGGTCTGGACTGCAGGCAGGTCAGTTTAGCACCCAGACTCTTTTAATACAGAGCAATGCTGCTGTAATACATGCAGAATGTAGTTTGACATCGTTTTGCTGAAGCAATCAAGGCCTTCCCTGAAAAAGATGTATATATTGTTCAGCATTAATGGTGCCTTCACAGATGTGCACGTCAACCATACCATGTTCACTAATGCCCCCCTACACCATCATGAATACTGGCTTTTAATCTGTGCACTGATAACAAGCTGGGTGGTCTTTAGCCCAGAGGACACAGTGTCCATGATTTCCAAAAAGAATTTCAAATGTTTTTCAGACCACAGGAAACTTTTCCACTTCCCCTCATTTTAAATGAGCTCAGGCCCAGAGAAGGTAGCAGTGTTTATATTATTTATATATGATTTCTTCTTTGCATTTTAGAGATTTAATTTGCATTTGTGGATGCAGTGATGAACTGTGTTCACAGACAGTGGTTTTCAGAAGTGTTTCTGAGACCCTGCAGTGATTTCCACTACAGAATCATGTCTGTTTTTAATGCAGTGCCGTCTGAGGGCCCACAGATCACGGCCAGCAAACACTGTTTTTTGGCCTTATACCTTGCATACAGAGATTTCTCCAGATTCTCTGAATCTTTAATGATATTATGTACTGTAGATGATGAAAAGCAAAAGTTCTTTGCTGTTTTATGTTGAGAAACGTTATTGAATTTTTCTTTCACTGAGTAGTGAACGTCTCCTCATCTTTACTTCTGAAAGACTCCGCCTCTCTGAGATGCCCTTTTATACCCAATCATGTTACTGATCTGTTGTCAATCAACCACCAGGTGTTTTTTAGCATTACACAACTTCACACAACTTTTTGTTGCCCTGTCCCATTTTTTTGGAATGTGTTGTTGGCATCAAATTCAAAATGGGCAAATATTTTTCAAACAACAATAAAATTTCTCAGTTTCAACGTTTGATTTGAACTATTTTCATTTCATCATTGCATTTTGTTTTATTTACATTTTACACAGTGTCCCAACTTTTTTGGAAATGGGGTTGTATTTTTCATGGCTATTAAGTAAACCAGTTTCAATGGATGATGTGTTTTTTTATTAACATTCTTGCATTGTTTGCTTTTTACTTTTGACCCACATTTCAGAGGTAATTTACTTCATTTAACAGAAGATGAACAATATCCTGCATCAACATGAACTCTCCTTAATGTTTTTTCACAGGTCGTAAGCTGAAGCGGTTTGGGGTTTTGAAGGCCATGGGTCTGAGCCCATCACTGATGTTCCCAAGCCCTCTGGCCCTGACCGCTGAGGGCCACGCTTTGGCCTCCATGCCGTGTTTTCCTGGGATCCGTGACCTGCAGCTCTCTCCTCAAATTATCAGCATTCTGGAAAGCATCGAGCCAGAGATAGTCTACTCAGGCTACGACAACTCTCAGCCGGAGCTGCCCCATTTGCTTCTCAACAGCCTCAATAGACTGTGTGAGAGACAGCTCCTCTGGATCGTCAGGTGGTCCAAGTCTTTGCCAGGTGAAGAGACCTTTGTATGCATTCACACAGCTGGTTGACTGTGGTGTCTAATTATGATTCTTGGATGGGTGTCATGGTTTTTCCTTAGTGTGACTGGTAGCAGTGATAGGAAAACACTGGTGTAGTTAATCATGTGAAATTTGCCATGGAACATTATGTACCCAGATGAAAGTACAAGGTGAAACCAACATGCAAAACAATGTAAAAATCACCCAGGATTCACTGAAACTTTGTGTACCTGTGTCCAACCATGTCCACTTTAGAGCTAACGTGACAAAGTACATGGACATTTGAACATTTGGAGACTCGTGATGCTAACAGTAAGGTAGCCAAGACACAAAGACATTCATAGGCATGAACCAGTGTTTAAATCCTTGCATTATTAATGCTTCACTGATAATCATTGATTTCTTAACCATCACTGCAACTCAGTGGCTGATATGGTTGCATCTAGGGATTCACATTTTAGCAAATTCTTTTGTACCATAACAAACCGTCATTAGTCAGTAAGTATTTGTTATCAGACAAGCCCAAATTCAAGGATGTGACTTGTCAAAATATCAATAATAAAACTCCAGTTCTAAAATCTGATTCGCTGAGCCACAATACAGCCACTGTAAAATACGTATGAGCACACAAATTAACTGAATTCTGTATTAATGCACCAAGATATTAAAACAGTGTTCCTTTTTGGAGCACAGTACTGACAGGTGGGGCCAGGCATAAGGCATAAGTGTGTATATGAACTGGTTTTATGGCCTTAAACTGAATTAAATGTACCTGATAGAACCCAGTTTTGTTTAAACCAAGGGGCTGGCAAATAATTGGAATATTTAAGCAATAGAACCTGAGAGGGAGTGTGTTATCACGAAATAACATCACGGCTGTGATTTGGTCGCCGTAGATCATCATAGCTGTGATGTTATTGGCGATAACACACTCCTCGAGTGCTCTATTGCTTTTATACAACAGTTAAATAAATAAAGTAATACATTAATAAACTGGGCCGTGAACGCGGCGTTTAATATGTTTTAATGTTCGCAGTTCCTTCACCAAATTATAGTTCCTTAACAAGCAGCTTGTTGCTGCATCAGAGTAACGAGCTCCGCCCACTCGCTGCTCAGCCGGCAGTTCGTTCTCCAGCACCTTGTTTTGTTCCAGCCAGTCTGTAAAGCATCTTACAGCCCATTTAGTTTGGCGAATGGTGTTGGGTTCATTTCTGGCTGATTCCAGGTTGTTTAGCTGTTCTTCTGTCACAGCTGCCGACTGAAAAGCTGCTCAGTGGTGATGACAGTTTGGGAATTTAGTGTCGTCTCATCTTCAGAGTCTGACCAAATCGGCTGTTGGTCAAATGTGATCTTAAAAGTGTCCATTTTCTGTTTGTGGCAAAGTAAGAAGTAAAAACGTTCAAATAGCTTGAGCGTCTCCTACAGCTGTCAAAGTCGTTGCTTAGCAACGGCGTCTCAGCGGAGTGAGACAGTGTTTGTAAAAAAAAGTATGATGTTATGAAATATCAGCACAGTTAGAACGCTTCTCAACCAATCAGCTTGCGTGGCCGGAACTAACTGATGTATAATACAGTAATATATAATGATAGGCTACTAAGAGTTCTATATTGTGAAGTTCTAACGTTACATTTACCACTTTTAACTAACTGAAGTTAAACATAAATACCATGTCCGGGGCTAGCTTTGGCTCAGTAGCTCTTGAAAACCACTGCCAGCCACCACAATCTACTCAAAAACACTACTGTTTTTTTGTATTTAAATTTTGGCTGCGTGTTTAATTTTTTGTAGGCTTATCTAGTAGAACAAATTCCCAATTGCAGCTTCATGTGTACAGTTTAAAAACATCCCTTAACTTCAGCGACACACACAAGCATTCAAATAGAAACTGTTGTTCATCGGAAAAGAAATGAACCTTTTTTAACTGAAGGCATTTTTCAATCACTTGTTTATTTGTCTGTTAATCAGTTAATTATAACGTCCCTTGTTGCATCTGTTTCCACATATCTGCACAGCTGAATCACCAGTGTTATTTTGCACAGCGTACATTGGAGACTAGTGTAACTGCACAGTTCAGAACTGGAGGTGTTTATTAAACATTTCTTTGCAAGGTTTTCGCAATTTGCACATCAATGACCAGATGACCCTAATCCAATATTCTTGGATGAACCTGATGGTCTTTGCTTTGGGGTGGAGAAGCTTCCAGAACGTCACAACTGATTACCTGTACTTCGCCCCTGACCTTGTCCTTAGTCAGTAAGTCATTTTAATTCAATCTATTAAAAACAGAAGAAATTAAACGATAGAAAGTAGCCCTCCATAAAATATTAACTAGTTTTGTAATATTTTGTCATATAATTTCTTATTTGCATCCGCATCAAGCACTTTCTTGGTTTATGATATTAGTACTACTTTAGCTGGGTCAGCTTTCACTTGGGGTGGTGTTGTAATATAAGTGATTACCAACATGATCCAAGACTTTAATCCAGTATGAATCTACATTGTCTGTCTGTAGTGTCTGACTTAATTCCTGATTGAATCAACCTCTGTGATTCTCTGAACCCGGAGCTGCATCAGCAATAATCTTGTTTGAATTGATTGTTATTAATATTGAGGGCAGTATCTGACATGAAAATCCACCCAATGACCTTTCAGTCAGAGTTATCTGTAGTAAATCAGCTAAATTACAGTCAGATCCTTTAAAAATGTCATTACAGAACCTCTCCTAAAGCTAATATAGCCCGAATACTGCTACTTAATGATAAAACCCTCACTTATTTGACACTGACTCATCATGGTCACCATCCTTAACTGTTAGCATGTCCTGTTAAAACATCAGAGCCCTGATTAACACTAATCTTCTCTTTTCTGATGCGTTAGGGACAGAATGCGGAGGTCTCCTATCTTTGACCTGTGCTTGGCCATGCAGTACATTCCTCAGGAGTTTGCAAATCTGCAGGTGACCCGAGAGGAGTTTCTGTGCATGAAGGCCCTAATGCTGCTCAACACTGGTAAAGTAATAGACATTTTTCTGTCTTTGTTCCCATTTTTATGCCCCTGACCCATAAAAAAAAACAAACGACCTTGTACTCACCTCAGGGACGAACATCCTCTCTGTCAGCTCATAGCATTCTGCAGAATTTCCAGGCACTGAGGGTTGCAGAGATGAGACTGGTTCTCTATAGTCTGACAAGAACTTGATGAACAGAATGTCTTTAGCAGCTGTCATTAAGTATCAAACTTACTTTACTTCAAAGAGAAGAAAATAAAACAGACACTTTAATTGTGGAGGGTTGGTTTGTACTATAAAATGTGCAAAGACAAGGTCGAGTAGTATACACAATACGCAGTAGTCCAGCCATGTTTTGCATATTGTAGTTATTGGTGTACTGACCATAATAAGGCAAAGGCTGAATCCCATTTTCTATTTTTAACCCTTATTTATCTTATTTTCAGTTACAAGGTGGAGTGTTTGAAATTTTACCCTATGAAATGGAACAACCCTCAAATAAAAAGAGCATTACTTCATTAACAGCTACTAGCGCTGCTCTGTAGGAGACCCTGCCAGTCTGCAGTGACAGCAGAGGAGGGTAAAGTTCAGCTCCTCACTGCTGGGCTTTAGTTACATTTAGGGCATCATATGCCTTCAAAGAGGGGGGCAATTATTTATTATCACCCACCACTAATTCTTCAGTGATATGAAGCTGAAGGCAGATATTCACCAGATTCTTGTTTGAATTTTCTTGTTCCACCTTAAATGGTGCAGCAGTTCTGACACCTGAGGTGCCAGAATGGAACTGCTGCACCATTTAAGGTGGAACGGGAAAGCTAGCCAGCTAGCTACCGAGACATGAGAATAATAGTAGCAATGATTATCGTAATTTTTTAACTGAGAAAATTCTCACATTTGTGGGTTTCTTTGATCTTTTGTTCTCCATCTTGCTGGTTTTTCTTTTTTTCTCATATCACTCTGTTTGGAGTCTCTGAAAAACCTCAGTTTGGAGGGTCATGTAGCCCCAACACTTTGGCCTACCCCTCTATCTCAACAAGAATCAGGACACCCTACCCCTAGATACGCAAAACGGAGGGGTAGGGCTGAGTGGTCAGATTTCTTGTTTATTAGGAAACTAAGAAGTTCAAGTTATATATTTTCTTGTTTTTCTTCTTTCAGTGCCTCTGGAGGGCTTGAAGAGTCAGAGCCAGTTTGACGAGATGAGACAGAGCTACATCCGGGAACTCACAAAGGCTATCCAGATGAAAGAGAAAGGAGTGGTGGGGAGCTCCCAACGTTTCTACCACCTCACTAAGCTCATGGATTCCATGCATGAGGTATGCAGCACCACTCAATCTTCAGCAGCTACCTGTACATTTTTTGGGAAAGTATTGTTTATAGTTTATTCAGGAACATCATATGCTTTAACCCCTTACATGACCACTGCCTGCCAGTGGGCCCAAGGTTTTATTACACACTTCTATAACCTAAGAATAGCCCAACGAGTTTGCACTAAAGTCCCTATATTTACTGTATAAAAGCCTTAGAATGTAATACGCCTGGGATTTTAAGCAATTACAGCACTCAGTGACAACAGAATCACAGGTCTGAGTCTACACTTGAGTTGGACTTGGAAAACTTGGAAAGCCACTTATTTAATGAAGGGATTGAAAAGTGGTTTAAAAAAAATGTAATCAAATTCTACCTAAATCGAAACTGTAGTCAATCAGGAAGACGCGTTTGCTGTCTTGTAAAATAGATAATCAAAAACAACATAAGCAAGTGTGATTGATATTGTTTATAGGGGGATTCCACCAACATATTTGCTTAATTAATAATTGTTAAGAGGTAAACAAAGTCATTTCAGAGTGATTTTGATATACAATGCGGCATGAGTCAGATCTTTTTACAGTGGTGGTAATTCAATCAATCAATCAATCAATCAATCAACCTTTATTTAACCCCGGAGAACATTGAGGGTGACCCTCATTTACAATGCTGCCGAGTTAATACAGAACAAGGGATTGATAATGTGTAAGAATATATTAAATAATAAATGTAAATTTAATAAAAAAAAAAGACTAAAATCAGGTAAGTTTAAAAATTGAAAGATTAATAATTAAAATACATAAAAATACAGTAGAAAATATAAAACAATAATTAAAACATAGATAAAATGTAAAAGTCAATAAAATCAAATCAAAATAAAATAAAAGGAGAATAAGATCAAAAGTAAACTAAAAATTAATTTAAATGACTAAAATAATCATAATTAAAATAAGAATAAAAATATGAATAATAAATAAATAAACAAACAAATAAATAATACAAGAATGAAAATAATGAGTAATAAGAACTAGACGCCTGAAGTGTTCAAGGCCTGTACAAGTAACGGACAGGAAAGTTATTACATTGAACAGCTGTGAATATGCTGCCTGGTGCCGGAGACGTTGTTTTATGATAGTTTTGGCCTAAAACATATTTTTTTAACTAAACTAGTTAAGCCAGCGAAGAGCATGCAGGGCAGTCTAAGGCAAAAGAGGACACTGAAGAAAACTTATTGTTCCAGATTTATTTCTGTTTTACCATTATCACCGTTACATATAAAAACTCAGATGGGCAGGTTCATTGGTGGGTTTGAAAAGTAAATAAAATGGCTAAGTCTGAGTTGTAGGTATTGCAACCACTGACTCTTTTCACCACCGCTGTAAAGAGAGTCGCTACGTTTCTCAACGATGAACCATTTCACATTAAACTACTGAATGATTGGTGGAATTCTTCTTTAAGAACAATACATGGTTTTAGGTAAGTGTCTGGTGATTTAGGAATGTAGTGAGCATGATGCTTATTGGTTTGGATAAACCTCTATTACTTGTTAGCTACATTAGCCTTCTAGTGCCCTCTCAACTACATTTAAAGCTATTGCTTATAACTGCCACATTTCTACATATTACTTTATATAAATAGAGCATCACTTTGCTTTGTGAGATAAGATGCTGCTTCAAATTGGACTGAACCAGCTATCGCAGAAACATGACTTAATGTCTGCTGAGGTTTTGCATGATAAGCCACATGCAACGTACCGACACTTAGCAAGCCCTGAAATGAAACGTATGACGTGGGCCTTGTCCCATTTCCAAAATACAAACACGTGCACTTTTGCTCCTAAATCAGCGATAACATGTGATAATGTGATTAAAGCTGAGTGTGCGTCACTCCCTGTCTGTGCAGATAGTGAAGAAGGTCAACCTCTACTGCCTGAGCACGTTCATCCAAGCTGACGCCATGAAGGTGGAGTTTCCCGAGATGATGACCGAAGTCATCTCATCACAGCTCCCGAAGGTGCTGGCCGGCATGGTTAGGCCCCTCCTCTTTCATGGCAAGTGATGTCATGACAGTCCAGAGAAGATCATGGAACATGGAGGGACATTTTAAAATGTTTAAAAAATGCCTAAAAAGCTTAAGGTGGCTTAATGATTCAAAACAATGACCTAGCAGCACTAAATGTCCATCTTACTGGTCATAAACACTGTCTTGTGCCAAAAAAGCAGAACTGTAATCCAAAGACAAAGCAAGAATTCTCCCTTTTCAGAAAACAGCCTGATGCTAATTAATGCGGCGATATTGTTGCACGTGCTGGCGGAAATGGATCCTGTGCAAATACAAAAAAGATCATTTTCATTTAAATATTTTGTCGAGACCAAGGCCCTGTCCCATTTCTTCTTTTTACCCCTACCCCTTGTTTCGAGTGTCACCCTAACCCTTTTGTAACTGAGTTACAAGGGGTAGTGGTTGAAATCTTGCCCTACGAAATGGGACCCTCAAAAAAAACATTACTTCATTATCAGCTACCAGCGCTGCTCTGTAGGCGACCCTGCCAGTCTGCAGTGACAGCAGAGGAGGGTAAAGTTCAGCTCCTCACTGCTGGGCTTTAGTTACATTTAGGGCATCATATGCCTTCAAAGAGGGGGGCAATCATTTATTATCACCCCCCAAATTCTTCAGTGATATTAAGCTGAAGGCAGATATTCACCAGCTTCTTGTTTGAATTTTCCTGTTCCACCTTAAATGGTGCAGCAGTTCCATTCTGGTGCTTTAGGCGTCAGAACTGCTGGACTATTTAAGGTGGAACGGGAAAGTTAGCTAGCTAGTTACCGAGACATTAGCATGCTATTAGAGGAGGTCAGTGTCTTATTACCTTAAGCCATAGCTATAAACTATAAACTGTTTGTTTATAATGGATCAATAGAAGCATAACAATCTTTTCACATTATTTTCAGATTATGTGTTTATCTTTTAGTTTTAAACACGTTTATGACCAATAATATATGGAGAAATTAGGTGGTCCTAGGTCATTCGTTTAGTATATGATGTGTCGTTAAGCTGGTTTCTCAGAAACGTCAGAACTTCATACTTTATTTTTAGATTAGGTTTAGGTTTGTCCTCTGTGTTTATGACCAGTATGCGAGCCAGGGTATTGTTTTAGTACATAAATCCATGTTAAGCTGTTTTCTGTACAGTTCTATGAGGAGAAAAGGCATAAAGTGAAACTGATTGATTTGTCTTTGGACTGTGTTTGTGCTTTTGACATGAAACAGAGTATATAACCAGTAAGACGGGAGAGAGGTTTGGTGTTTCTAGGTCATAGTGTAGCACGTTAAGCCTTTTAGAAGGTTCCAATATGGAAGTCCTCGATAAAAGTACAGTTTAATGAGCTCCTTTTTTTTTGGCTATGTTTGAATTTAGTTTCAAGCTCCAGTGATTTTTTTACTGTGGTGAACGATGCATTCCTGTTACATCTTGGCTCTTGCTTTGCTTTTATCTAGAAACTAATCTAGTAAACGTAGTGTAGTAAGCATAAGACAAATTGTGGGAGATGATTTTTCTTGTTCAGTTTGGTTGTCATTTGGTTAATGAGCCAGTTCAGTAGTACACCGTTATTCATTTCAGTTCAACATACTGTGTGGTATTCCTTGAGGAACTCACTGTAGATGATCCTCATCCCTGTTCTGGTCTCAAGGATATGTTCCCAGTTGGGGCCACAAAGAAATATAGCCTGGACTTCATCCCTGATGTAGACAATAATTCACACTAAGGGAGATACTGTGGTTTTATGTCACTCTGTAACCTTGCAGTGCATCTCTATCAAGAGTGTACAAAGACATAAAAGTTCAACCATGGCTGGACTTAAATTACAGAACTGTGCAGAAGTCAGAGACCATTCCAAATGGCCACTAAGTAAAAGGTATTCATTAGAAGCTTCATATAATTAAGAAAATGAAGGAGAAGATTCAACAACTATATCACTGCTGTCAGAACAAAACCTTGTATCTCCAAAATGGTAACTTTACAGGAGAAGGAAAAAACCTACTGTACTTTTAATGTAAGTCAATGGAACCAGACTTTTTACCCAAATCATTTTGGGCCGTTTTATTTTGGTCCATTCATCATGAAATTTACACAAAATGTTAAGGCCAACAGGCATTTTTATATTACTTAAAAAACTGAAAAACTACAAAAATGAAGGGGTTTGAGGTTTTGTTCCGACAGCAGTGAAATATAATGTCCAGTTTTTCAGTATTTAATGTGTCCACTTTTGCCTTTATTACAGCTTCCGTTCTTTTCAGCAGCTTTGATTTCAGTTTTTCAAATAAATCTGCAGGGACGTTTTTTCCACACCTCCAGAGCTCAGTCTTAGAAGTTGGTTGCACTTTCTGCTTCTCATGATTCAACTCATTAAGTGATGTTGAGGTCTGGACAGCCTGTTTTTCTGAGCAGATTCTTTGTTTGATTAGCACTTTTTTCTTTTTTGTTTTGTCTGTTTCCTTTTCTCAGTAATGCCTTTCTAACAGCTACACATCCTGACAGAATCAAAGCGTTGAGTTGTCTCACAGGATGGACAGAAGCAAGAGTGGAGCTTGATTTTCTCCTTTCTCTCCAAGATGAAAGCTTTAAGCGCTGTTTATCTGATGGGGATGGTTTTGGAGTTCTCCTGCATCTTGCATGGTTGTTAGGATTCTCAATTTCTCTGCATTTTTTTTTGATCATTTTTTCAAGTCCAGTTTTGGAAACTCACTTATTTTTCTTTAACTTTCTCCTCCTGTTGCAAGTATCTCATATCTAATCTCCTGAAAAAGGAATGACGTCTACAGTGGCTGTTTTGACTGGAACGTGAAGTCTCTGACTTTTGCGTAGTACTGTAATCAGTGGTCAGTGCTTTCATATGTACTTCAATTTCCTGTCAAATTCTACAGTAATAAAATGCAATGACTGTACAGTGAAAAGTGATGGAGATGGCTGTGTTGTGTATAGTAAGTAATAGTGTGTATTGTGTAATAAGTACGTTAAAAGAGAAACTAATTAAGTTATACATTTAGACATTAATAAAACTTGATTAATACATTAGAGCTGCCCAAAAGTTCATTAAGGAGTTAATGTCAGTGTACAATGACTCTGACCAGTGCTGTATTTTAAGACATTTATGATGGAGGATTTGACCTCGCCAGACTCAGTTAAGGGGAGTATCGTTCCGGCATCAGCCCTCAAGGCCGTGGCACATTCTTATGCATTTAAATGGAAAAGAACACAGAGATCTTGGCACCTGCCTCCACCCTGTTTCCCCCCTGGAACATTCAGCACAGAAGGTTTTAATTGTATCGTCTTATGATTGAGACTTTTCAGAAGTCATTTCTGCTGATACAGATTGTGGGAGCTTTAGTTTTAGTAGACATGTATAGACATTTATTGACAGAATGAAAACATGTAATACAGTATGAGCCAATCAGTGGCATAGAATGCTTTTGAATCTAATCTCTACACATTGTGTGACCTAAGTATGGTAACAATGAATCAACTTTATCTCTGATTGTATGAACAAGTGCAACATTTACAGTTACAAAAAGGTTATATGACCAAATAAAACAATACTTAATAAAATGCTGACAGTAAAAATATGACAGGATAGACAGAAATACTTTGGTAAAACGACTGTGACCGTACCAAAACTGCTTTCAAGGTGCAATAAGACTAATTCTACAAATTACAGAGTGCGTAGGCTATCATACTGGTTTGATTTACAATCACATAGGACTTTTATTCTATTGGCCCTTCGTTAAAGTAGACTGTACTGAGATAATTAGAGATAATATGGATAATTTATTTAAGTCTGTTGCCTCTGAGTAAGACTTGTGATATACTGATTAGCAGAAGCATAATAGTATTAATAAAAAGAAAAAAAAAGAAAATTAAAATGTTGACTTCAATATATGAGGATATTATAATGTCCCAGTAATGTTCTTACTAGCCTTACTGAGCCAACAGCTGATAAATAACTGCTTGTATAATAACTAACTAGCTAATTAAACGTACTTTTATGTATTGGGTCCATAATGTGCTTATTTTCATTTGATTCCTCTCAATACCTCCAAATACTGACAACCTGACTCTTTATTCTAAAGTGAACCTTTCTTGCTCAAATGCACTAAGATGATGTTAAAGAGGAATTCAACCAATTTTTTAAAAATTCTGAATATTTCAGTCCTTGAGATCTAAACAAAATCATTCAGAGAGGTTTGATGAGAAATGTTTCACTATAAAGAAACTTACAGACTCAGATGTCACCACAGTGGTGGTGATAGGAACCAGGGGTCACAATGAATACAATTACTATCCAAAACCTCACAACCTCACAACGCCTTGTATGTATCCATCTGCTCTGAATGGTCTGAAGTAAATGGATTGAAATACATTTTAAGCCAAAACCCTATCACACAGCTATCATAAAACAGTGTGTCAGACATCAGGCAGCACATATCTAATCATTTCATGTAGTTTTCTTTCTGTGAGGGAGCTTTCAGGCATTAAACTTTTCAGACGTCTGGTTCCTATCACCACCACTGTGAACAAATCTGACTCGACAAGTTTTCTAAAACAGAACATTTCACACCAAACCACTCTGAATGACTTTGTTTACATCTTAACTATTTAATTATGTAGATTTTTTTGAAAAATTGATGGAGTTCCCCTTTAACTTCTGGTGTATGGGGTCTACGTGAAGTGTGCTTAGCTTCTAGTCAATCAGCACAAGTTGTATGTCTGCATATCAGTTATTTCATATTAATGTTATGCAAGTTAATGACATATAATATACAAATGTAAACTGGTAAATCCAGCCTAGCTGCTGCTTAATAAAGTAGAAATGAGCAGCTAGTTAATTAGCAGTTTTTGTCTTGGTATGTTAGCAGCTATTCAGACTGCAGATATTTTATCATTATTGTGATATGAGTTTCCAAAACACATAGTTATGATGACAGAATGGATCAAATTATTCATGGGGATATGTAGCATTGAGTTACTTAAGTGTTTGGCTAAAAGGCCAAAAACATGCGTGCACAGCTTCAAAACGTGATTAATATTTTCTCTGGGTTGTGTAATAATGGCTATTGTCACAACAAACCTGCATCACTATAGGGGATTTAAGGAATTAAATATATAGTCACTCTTGCAACAAAACCTCATATCTCCAATATGGTAACTTCAAAGGAGAAGGAAAAACATTAAGTTTCAGTGGAAGTTAATGCAGCGACAATAAATTGACTTGTTTTTGCAGACCTATATAGAAAATAAAAATATTTGGTTTTGTAGCCTGTATAGAAAATGCTGTTCACAAACCTTGCAGTGCTGATGTAAGAAGCTATTATCTTGTTTACTAATTGCATACCCAATCAGAACCATGCTATTTTAATAATAATGCTAATATGCTGATAATGCCAATAATAATTGCTTCGCATACTGTTTTATCCATTTTATTTATCCTAACATCACATATATGTCCACATTGTGCAGCCCTACCAGCTGTTGGCCTGACGAAGCTTAACAAGGCCATAATAATGGATACTACAAAGATTACAGTGTATGATACACAAGCTTGGTCACTGCTTAATAAAACAGTGAAGTGGAGGCAGTTACTTACCAGCTACTGGCTTGATTAGACTCAACAAAGACATTTTAAGGGCGTTGTTATATCCTCCTATACTAAAGTGCTACCTAAATCTCTGCTACGCTACATAAGACCTTTGAGCTGAAGCTTCTATCTCAGAATCATCAGCCTAATGCACAGCAGTTCAGTGGTTTTATACAGTACTATATATCTGTATTCCTACAGATAACAGTTTGGACTGCAGAAACAGGGCTGCTTAAGACTGCATACGTACATGATTAGGTTATGTACATATATTATGTATCATTTATTGATGCTCTCTTTATATTCATGACCACTTTTTTCATTTTTTTTTCCAAACTGCATAATAATTATGCACACGAGCCACATGCCGGATGTGCTTTTCTACTATTAAAATGTCACTGCTATGTCTACGTTACCATGGATACCATGAAATGTTTGATGACGTCTTCAGGGGCGGAGTCAGACGAAGACGACGTAGTTTTCGGGCACCAGTCCCGTCCTGCCCTCATACGTAGCCTGAAGCCAGCCGGGCTCCACCGAAGGATACACTGCAGAACAAACAGTTCCAGAGTCAACCACAACAACAGGGGATGGAGGAGGAAACTCATAAAGCCTTGAATGCACGGGTGCAGGTGTATACTGAAGACTGGAGTCACTGTTTTAAGTCATATGATTGGTTTTGCTGCTGATACAGTCATGTGCAATAGCTTTGTTGATTTTTTTAAGCGCACAATTTCCAGAAATGAAAAGATTCAGTTCTGAAAGCCAATCAAAAGAGAGCAGCTTCCAAAAACAATTCAGCCCTGAGACGTCAGCTCAGAGGATGTTCAGAGTTCGGAGAAGTTTAGTGGAGGAAAAAAAGAGGATGATGTCACCAGCACATATAGGGAACACACTTTATTAAATTTGTCATCTTAGTTTGATGAATTAAATTAAACTAAAAAAAAAAAAAAGATTATTATCAGCTGGGAAATCTGCTTCCCGAAACTAGCTGAACCAGCTGGGGTGGGAAGGCCATGTCTTTATGGATAATTAGCTCACTATCATACGCATGAGAAACATCTAACCTTAAATCAAAGTAAAACTAGTCCAATAAAACAAAAACCCATTTTTTAAAACAAAATCACATCACAATTATTGGGACCTCCTACATTTAGTCCTTAGTGCAGCCTCCCTTTGCCAACACAACAGCAACAAGTCCTATAATGCCTCCTATCATGCTTGACGAGAGGATACAGGGAAAGCAATCTGAGACCACTCGTCAATACAGAATCTCCCCAGATCCTCCAGGTCCTCTCATCTGGATTCTCCTCTTTAGCTCACCCTACAGGTTTTCAGTGGGGTTTAGGTCATGAGACTGGGATGACCATGTCAAACGTTTGATTCTCTGGTCACTTTAATCATTTTTTTGGATGTACGTTTTGAAACACTGTCCAGCTGAAAGATCCAACCACGACGCAATTTCAGCTTTTTTGGCTGCTTTTTTATTCGAATCCCCCGATTCCATTGTGCATCCTGACAAAGTTCCCATGGCTTTTGCAGAAAAAACGGCCCCAAAACATCACAGATGATACTTTACAGCAGGGTTGAGGTTACTTATGCCAAAACTACCTTGAGTGTTGCCAAAAGCTTCATTTTTGTCCCATCTGACCATAGAACTCCAGTAGCATCCAGCAAACTCCAGGTGCCTGTGTTTGTGGTACGATGAAGGACTGATTCCAGCATGCCATGCCTTCCAAGCAGTTTGTCAGCACCATCAAACTGTAGTTTTGGAGGCTTGGTGACCTCAACTGTGGTCCTCAGAGGAATTTTTTTAACTCTAACTCCCTCACTGTGTGGAGGTAAAATAAACTCGTCCTCATCCAGGCAGGTTCGCTACAGCTCTGGTTGTTTTAATCTTCTTAAGTATTGCCTCAAAAGTGGACATGCAGCTTTTTATTATTAATTTTTACAGCCATTGCCTGATTTATGAACTTCAACACACTTGTGTCATCTGATGATGAAAGGAAGTCAAGGATGATAAGTTTATAGTTCATAAACATTCTGGTGTCTGGTTTGCAAACAGTTTAATCTACATTCTACCTGCAAGTTATTTTTGAATAAAACCATCAAAATTAATATGTCAAGTGACTGCAAACTTTTGATTGGTCCCTTAGACTGTTAGCACCTTTATCTAACACCAGTTGATCTACAAACTGCCATCATGGTGTAAAGCAGTCAAATTGTTTTACTGACAGTAACACACACACACACACACACACACACACACACACACACACACACACACACACACACACACACACATTTTCTAAGCCACTTATCCTTCTGGGTCGCACGGGAAGCTGGAGCCTATCCCAGCGGTCCCTGGACATGTCGCCAGTGTATCACAGAGCAGACGCACAGACGTACATTCACACACACACACTCACAGCTAGGGGCAATTTAGCGTGTCCAATTGGCCTCACTGCATGTCTTTGGACTGTGGGAGGACCCTGGTCACCGGCCAGGGAATCGAACCCAGGCCCTTCATTGCTGTGAGGCGACAACACTACCAAGTGAACAAAGGGGCCGAGAAGGAGGGTCAGACTGAGCTCTCATGCACATTTAAGGGTTTAAGTTATATCTTTTCATGTCGTTTGTCATTTGTTTTTCCTTTTTACAACAAGTGTTTTGACACTAATCCTGAATTGTGAGAGAGCTGATGCGGTGAGACATTATCATTCCAAAGAGCACTAAAGAGGGCCTGAAGAGAGGAGAGAGAGGCACAGGCACAGTAAGCCGTAATATTAGATGAGAGACAGTCAGGGCGCTGTGTTCTTTTAAATGATCACAATAAAGCTTTCAAAACAGACCTCACAACAGACCCCCCCCCTTCCAACAGCAATGACTCAGTTCAGTTCCAGCTAATACATCGACTGATATGCAGCTGCGACAGCAACGGACATGGAGCTACAGTACTGAGCAAAAAACACCTGAAAATGATATTAACTTCTCCATTAAGGGGTGTGAACAGGTAATAACTAGAAACATGGATTTCCTGAAGGAAACGCAGAATGGTTGCTCAGCTTAAATGGTTCCCATTTCCCACTAGGTTGCTAGGTGGTTGCTATGGTATCCAAGGTGGTTGCTAAAGTGTTGCTAGGTGGTTGCTAAGGTAGCACAGGTGGTTACTATGGTGTTGCTAGGGGTTTGGTATTGCATTCCAGATGGTTGCTAGGCGGTTGCTATGGTATCCCAGGTGGTTGCTAAGGTGTTGCTAGGTGGTTGCTATGGTATCACAGGTGCTTGCTAAGGTGTTGCTACCTGGTTGCCATGGTATCCAAGGTGGTTGCTAAAGTGTTGCTAGGTGGTTGCTATGGTATTGCTAGGGGTTTGGTATTGTATTCCAGATGGTTGCTAGGCGGTTGCTATGGTATCCCAGGTGGTTGCTAAGGTGTTGCTAGGTGGTTGCTATGGTATTCCAGGTGGTTGCTAAGGTGTTGCTAGGTGGTTGCCATGGTATCCGAGGTGGTTGCTAAAGTGTCGCTAGGTGGTTGCTAAGGTAGCACAGGTGGTTGCCATGGTGTTGCTGGGGGTTTGGTATTGTATTCCAGGTGGTTGCTAGGTGGCTGCTATGGTATCACAGGTCGTTACTATGGTATTCCAGGGGGTTGCTAGGGGAGTGCTAGGCGGTTGCTTTAGTATCCCAGGTGGTTGCTAAGATGTTGCTAGATGGTTGCTAAGGTAGCACAGGTGGTTGCTTTGGTGTTGCTAGGGGTTTGGTATTGTATTCCAGGTGGTTGCTAGGCGGTTGCTATGGTGTTGCTAGGCAGTTACTATGGTATTCAAGGTTGTTGCTAGGGGAGTGCTAGGTGGTTGTTATAGTATCCCAGGCGGTTGCTAAGGTGTTGCTAGGCGGCTGCTACGGTATCCCAGGTGGTTGCTAAGATGTTGCTAGACAGTTGCTAGCTAGTTGCCATGGTATATGAGGTGTTTCTTAAGTCGTTCACAGGGAGTTCCTAAGTGGTAGCTACATGTTGCTGAAAATGAATGGGAGTAAAGAGGAATCAGAGAAAAGAGGAATGAAAAAATGACACATAGAGGAGAGGAGGTCAGTGTGGCTGTGGATTAGCCACAATCTGGAGTTGGAGCGGTGTTGATATTTTGAAAAACTGCAGTATGATTTACGCAGCAAAATCTGGCAGAAAAAAAAAGAATAATAATCTACACAAGAAGAATAATAAAAGAGAAGAATGATATAAATCAGATAACAATACAGTTGCGCAGTGCAGTGCATTTACATTCATAATGACACTGTAAAACAACTGCAATTAATTGTTTTATTTACTTTACTCATCTGCTAAACTTACTAATGCAAATCTGTTAATGCATCCTATTTCTATGTATAATGCCTAAGTTATTGAGGCAAATCAAGTTCAGATCAGTTCATTTGATAATTCCTACAGTTTTTAATATATTATTCCTCCTTTTTTTCCTAAAAAAAACTTTCCAGCATTCTTATCAGATTTGTTGGTTTCTGTTAAATAACTAAATTTTTCCTGTTTTTATTTCTCTTTGCACAGTGTCACTTTTGTGTCACAGCATTTTCTCATGCTAACCTGTTAAGTTTGGATGCATTTTCCATATTTTTATTATTCTCACCATGATGGCGTTTTGTGTTCTGGTTTAGCAGATGCTAAATATCAGCCTCCAGCACTTTCTGAACAGAACGGCAAAGACGCCTGAAACCATTTCAGGCTGCAGAAATGAATAACTTGTCTTATCCTTGTCTTCAGCGTATGACTATAAAACAACGGCTGTTTCTCAGTATCAAGATCATGAAGAATAGACTCACAAGAACAAGAAGAAGGATGGAGAACGTTCATACACGACTTGAGATGTGCTGTGTACTTGCTATGGCACAACTAAGACCTGAACTGAGTTCACCAGCATTAAGATACCATTTAGTAGCTGGTAAATCTAGAATATTAAACATGGAGTCCCAAAATAGAAGCTGGGACAATCACTGTGTTTTTTTTTCTTTAAAATAGAGTGTTGATCTAGATGAGAGCCAAGCTGGGATGAAAGATGAAAGAGAGACGTTGCGCACTAGTAATCTGAAAGGAGCCTCGTCCTGATGAAACGTCAGAACAAACTTTCATATTAGGCATTATCTGTACCAAATAAGCAAAGATTTGACAAATTTAGTGTCTATTTCTAGCCTCAGTTTTTACAAAGTACATTTAAGTGAACTGTTTACTTATAAACACACAGCTGTGGGTCAGTATCCTCTTCCAGGCATGATGATGCTGCGGTTAATGATGGGACTTTCAGGCCACTGTTGTTGGCAAGTCATAAAGTGATGTGTTCTCGGTAATCGGAGCGGATCAAGAACACATCTGTGCACTTTAACTGTTCTTGGTACTTGGTGTTCTTGAATAAAGGAACACAACTTGGGCAAAGGAAGATGACATGGAGCACGTGCAATTAAATGAGATGTTAACTAAATTGAGATTAAACAGAACCTGAAAAAATCAGGATACTGCCAGCTCAACTGAAACTATTTAGAAGTATTGGGTTGTCTGAGTTCATCTTAGCTATCAAAGAAGTGAGGATAGAAAGTAAATGAAAATTAAGTACCTATAGCTCAAATATAACTCAAACATGAAGTTATTGAAGCTTGAACCTGTTAAGTAACTTAGTGCTTTCAAAGCAATAAGCGTGCATGTTCAATAAAGTAAATCACATTTCAGTTGCAAGCCTAGAATTAAATTATTTATTTTAGCCACACCCCTGCATATTAGAGCAGGTAGTGAGGCTGCATCCCTGTCCCTCATGGCCACATGGTGAGTAGTTAGATCCCTTTGTTTTGAAGTAAATGTGTCCCAAAGTCTGAAAATCAGTGTGGAACATTAAGAAATGACACTACTGAAAGATATTTTCCGCTATTAAGTAAGCTTTTTGTGTTATGAAAAATATTATGATTTTATGTGTGCACAACTGTTCCAAGCTGTGTTGCGTGCTGGCTAGTGTTTTTTAGTTCTTTTCAAACTAAAATTGTCACCACCGGAACAGGAATTTCCGAAAAGTTCTGTGAGTGTAATTGTTGGTCTAATAGTGACAAAACGGAATGTTCAATCAATTATTTTAATAAAATAAACATGCATAAGGCATGAGGTCTGTAAAAAAGCAAGAGGTTTTTCATCTAAAGTCAAATCAACAGTTAAAAGTCCAAAGTCAGCTTTAAACTCTGACTTTAAACCAGTTCTGAAGAAGGGTCCATACACACAATTACAGCTCCTCTGTGAGTGAAGCTCTCACTCTTGGTCATATAGCTCATGGATTCTTGTTACAGCGGAAAAAAAATAAAATAGTGTAAGCTTTTAAAGCAGCCAGGCTGTCCGAGCTGAGCCACCAAGGGAGAAATCTTTGGATAGCGAGAATAAACTGGACAAACCATCATTCTTCACAGGTGAAGAGTGAATTATGTGGTTCTGATCATTTTTGAGAGCAGAGAATTATTCACAATTAAAAACTGACACTGACTGATAACACAGTGTGTATACATGCACTCAACAATCCGGTCATAACCAGATTTCTGCAGTTATCTGATTATTCAAATGGTCATGTAAACACCATACTCTGATCTAAAATCCGATTAAGAAATCTGATAAAGAGGCTGGATTTTAGCTCAGTAATCAGATTTCTCAGTGCATGTAAACTCTTACTCTGATTTCTTTCGGATTTCTCAGTCTGCGCATGCGCGAGATCAGACGGTGGATGTCGCGAGACACAGCAAAACCAAGACGCTGAAACCAAACACGAAATAAAGGATTTGAATATTCTTCATCATCTAAATGATGTATGTTCATATTTTCAGGTAAAGCCGCGCGATGTTTAAAAAAGTTTCCGTTACTTTCATGTCACGTCTTCTTCTGTGAGTTTATTGGCTGGTTGCAAAGTGGAAATCTGATTACTGTCTGACTCATGTAGACCCGGAGTTTCCCCATTATCTGAATACTCACGTGCATGTAAACGTGTTGATCGGATTACTGACATAACTGATTTTCTTCAGTTATCAGATTATTATGTGTATGTAAGTGCACTCACTGATTAACCCCATCAGACATAGATATTCAGCTATTACTTACTCTTTCGATCACAATGACGTTTGATGGTATAGCTGACGGAACAGACAGTCGCTGACTCTTCCACAGACCAAATAACTATACTTGATTATTAATGTTTGATCATTTTGATTAGTTATATTTTTTTCTTTTATCATATTTGATCTAGTGATTTGTAGCCTTTAGCTGCTGTGAAGTGTGTGCTGATGCAGTATTTAAGGTAATTATATATTTGCTATCATGGGCAATAACATATAATTGAGACTGAATGATTATTGATTTGATTATTGATTTTGACTTTTTCTTGACATCTTGATTTGGAAGCCAAAGTTGGCACTGAAAGCTCCAGGTTTTGCAAATACTATCTATAAAGACTTTGGCTTTACTAAAGAATTATTAAAATGCTGTGTTCAATAACTGTTTCTGAGAATGTCTGGCAAGTGCTCAAAACAGACCACTACAAACATTAAAACTGTGATGTTGCATACAAACTAATAGATTGTAGGCTATTAAAGAAAATATCAGTTGATGATAAAAAGTCTTCCTGCCAGACAAGGATGAGGTTGAGGTTGTACCCCTGATAAAAACATCATGGGGGCCACTGTTCTGTTAAAGAGCATCACTACCAGCAGAAACACATACAGCCCAGACCAAGTTTTCAACAACGTTCTCTGGTGGCCCAAGACCTTTGCACAGTCCTGTACGTAAATCTCCGAGATCATTTGACAGTTGAGTAAAGCTCAGCCCTGGGTCTGAGTCAAAGAAGCATGTGTTTTGCTGTGCTGCCTGAGGAGAAGGGGAGAAGTGATGGAGCTTTCCACCACTAGGTTATGGTGACCTGGGTGAATGCCTTGGTGCCCCGCCAAATTATTTTGGAGTGGAAAACACAAGCGGCAGTAAAAATAATTAAATAAATAAATCCCAGGGCCGAGGAGGAGGACGGAATAACAGCGGACGCCGTCGAGATCTCATGTGCACATTGCTGACTGCTGTCTGAGTGGGAGTGCTTCAGTGGATTGTCTGACATTTGCTGAACATTGCAGGAGGTGACGCTCGGGACATTCGTTCACTTCTAATTTTGTGTGCACTGACATGATCTTTTTCCCATGTCGAGGAGGCACAATATGTGTGACATTATAGCTACATCTGAAGCAGCAGTTAGGAATAAAATTCAGGCGTCAAGATGCAACTACTCCTGTTTTTGGGTTTGCTATGTGGAGCAAAGCTTTCATTACTTGTTTGTTACAGTCATATACAAAAATATCCCCAGTACAACCACGTTTTATTGATTTTCTAGGGGAAAATATGTTAACACTCAAGGAACAAACTTAACCCCTGTGTGGTGTTGATGTGTTTGTTACTCAGTGGTCTGGTGGACCCACCGCAATATTGATTATTTTTAAATCAATACAGCCATAACAATTTAGGTAAAAGTACTAGATGTTTAAAGTATCACATGTCCAGCGTAGGGTTCTCCTTTAGCAGCTGTAGCCAGTCAGCAGCCTGTCCATGTTGTCCACCCTCACACACACACACACATATATACAAACACATACACACACACACACACACACACACACACACACACACACTGCGACTGCTGTAGTCTCAGTTTTAATGGAACGCACGTCAGCCTTTGACGTCAGTGGAAGAAGATCTGATGCCTGTTGGGTTTTGATTAAGTGGCTTTGGGCCTTTTGTGTGTTGTGGCTGCTAGCTTACCATTTGAAAAGTGCGCCCCCTGGGGGAAGCTCAGCTCATTGCTGTGCTCAGCCTCACAGGAGTACATTGCCTTTGCGTCTCTGTGGAAATTAAAAAAAATAATAAATAAATAAATAAAAAAAAACCAACACAAAAAGAGAAAGTGCCTTGAAATGTTGAGACAAATTTCTAGTGCTTGTATCTGTAGAATGGGTCAATTTGGAATGTTTTTATATGCCTAAAAATGATCTGCTTTATACAAAATATCAACACACAATCTTGGCCATGAACAGTCGTTGGTGAAAAATCTAATATACAGTTTTCCTCAAGTGTAGTCAATCAGCCAAGACATGTTTCAGTAGTTTTGCACTGGCACAGGCATTTTTGCCCAATGAAGACACAATAACAGAGTCAAAATTAGACAGAAGCAAAGTGCAAAGGTGAGAAAAAAGCAAGACAGCAAACCTAAAAACCTAAATCTAATCATCCTATGCTAAAGCATACTTTTTCCCTCAATAAAACATCCTACCTTCCCACTGGACTGGCCGGTGCTGCAGGTGAGGGGTTTTCAAACAGCAGTGCTCTGGCTGCCACCCTGCAAAACACAATGAATACATGATCTGTCAGTAACATTAAGAATGCATCTATGTCTTATGATCTTATGGTGCCCCTTCAAACGACCTAAAGCTGAGGCTGCACAATGGACAGCACCTCATGGGGGTGATGGAGAGAGTGGAAGCAGGGCTGATAAACTGTGTGATGACATAAGAGCTACAACCAGCAGCGGTAAAATTACCTAGCGCACCAACATTTCGTCGCTGTCCAAAGAAAAACAAGTATCTCCAAAATAGTAACTTTACAGGAGACGGCAAAACATTCTTTACTTTCAATGTAAGTTAATGGAAAGAGATTTTATTCCAAGCAGTGTTTCTATTGGTCCAATCATCATGAAATCTTCACACAATATAAAGGACAGCTGCTGAGCTCAAATGATGCAGAAGTAAAAATCGCAAAAAAGGACATACATGTTTTTCATTGGAGAGCAACAATTTACAACTTTTACAGTTTTCAAAAACTGAATTAATATTTTACACACACAGAAAATCACAAAGAAGCCTCAACAGTGAAATACAATAATAATTGTGTGCAAAAGCTTGAACAACCTAGTCAAGTGACATTTTGATTTTCTAGGTGAATATTTTTTACTGCATCCTCTACAGAGAACTTAAATATGACAATTTTTATTTTTTTGTGCACAATTTCAGTATAACTGCTAACATTTTGGAATAAAAACACAAAATACAAAATGTGACATTCCTTTTGCGCAGGGCCACATTTTCTGTATTTGCTTAAAAACAGCAAATTCAACAAATAATTGTGCTTTAAAATGAAGTCTGTTCTCTATAGAAAACATGCCCTTATTTTCACTTAGGAAATCAACATGAACATGCAACTTGACCAGGAGTGCCCAAAACTGCATACAACTGTATAATGTCAGATTTTTGGGTAGTTACCATGTCCACCCTTTGCCTTTACTACGTTTTCCATTTTGTTTTTCCAGGAGACCTGCTTTGAGTTTTTCAAAGAATTTATTTTTACACACCTCCAAAGTTCAGTCTTCAAAGCTGGTTACATTTTCTCATCATCCAAGTAATACACAACACATTTAGTGATGTTGAGATCTGGGCTCTGCTGTTTCTCTGATTGGGACAGTTTTGGTGGTCTATCAGGTCTTGCATGGTTGTTAGGATTCCCATTTTCTATACAGCTTTATTTGGAAAAAAAATTCCTGCTGTTTCAGTTATTTTCCTTCCACTTAATTCTGCCTTATGCAAGCTTATATATTTAATTTCCTCGAAAACATTTCCCAAAAATAGATAACTTAATGGCAGTTTTGACTGGAAGTTAAATAAATGAGGGGTGGTCTCTAACTTTTGCGCCGTACTCCTGGATTTGCTAATCGTTGCTCACCATCAGTGACTGCTTTTATTTGGCATTCCAGTGATTCCTTCTATGTTTATGAGCCGTAAATGCTCTTTGTAAAGGTGACTCGAGCTGAAAGTCAAAGAGGTTTTCACTTAGATCTTTTGGTCGGCTCTATTGTTTCCTTTGTGGATACGGAAGCACAGCGGTCAAGGTAGAAATGGTTTGGTCACGACCTGAATGGAAAGTGTTCCTATTAATAAGCATCACTTTTAAAAGGGCGAGAGAAGAAATGATGAGAAAAGAAAATCTGTGGCTTAAGAAGTTGCTTTTTCCCTCTGCATGACAAGCAGAACAATATATATCTGTCCCTGGAGTGAGTGTCAACCAAAGCCGAGCTGCTGGGTCACATCAACCCCGTCAGCAGGCTGAACACAATTACTGCTCATTCCCACAAAGGAGAACATCTCTCTCTGCACTCTGCGTCTGACTCACCCCCACACAGCCCCATACGCTGCTGATGTGTCACTGCACACTGGAGAAGACAAGCTATGTAAAATAGTCATTTAAAATCGATCAGTTTACATTATTACATAGCTTGTTTTGAGCTGTTTTACTGCAATAAAGGCTTATAAATAACTATAAACACCTCTTTATTTAACTCAGTATCCTCCTCTCTGCCTCAGGCATCAGTTTCCTCCTCCTCTGCCTCAGACATCTGTTTTCTGTTACTCAGGCCTGCCGTGTTCGGTCAGGTTTAAAAGCAGAGTGATTTATGTTGGAACACCAAAAGTCTGAAATCAATGTTTTCAATAACATAAAAACAACTCTGTTCCAGATGAATGTGAACGTGGACCTTTCTATCAAAACAAACAAGCAAACAAATAATTAAATAAATACAAATAAAATAAAAATGATTGTGTGTTCAGGGTTTAGATATTTACAAGGATTATACACAAAACCATTATTTACAGGGTTATTTCTGTTCCAAACCATAACCCATAACTTTATTCTGAGTGGATTTTAGACGAAATAAACACTCAACAGACTCTCAGTAACAAATCAACAACATATCAATGAAGAAGCAACAGTGAATACGTTCAGTAGATTATCAACAGACTTTTAATTAATTACATGAATCAAATCTGTTTATAATCTGCTGAATTCAGTTGTTTATCACTTTATTTGGAGTCCAAGTTCAGAACTGCAGATGTTAAACCTCAGAGGAACTGAACATTAACAGGTTTAATACAGACCATCAACACAGACACACTGACACCATCCTGCACCTGGAGATACACTGGATTAGGGCTTGGTTAAGGTTGGGATTAGGGTTAGGACCAGAGTGAGGGTTAGGATTAGGTGTTGGGTTGAGGTTAAAGTTAGGGTTAAGATTAGGGCCAGGGTGAGTGTTAGGATTAGGTTTTGGGTTGAGGTTAAGGTTAGGGTTAGGGCCAGGGTGAGTGTTAGGATTAGGTTTTGGGTTGAGGTTAAGGTTAGGGTTAGGGCCAGGGTGAGTGTTAGGATTAGGTTTTGGGTTGAGGTTAAGGTTAGGGTTAGGGCCAGGGTGAGTGTTAGGATTAGGTTTTGGGTTGAGGTTTAGGTTAGGGTTAGGGCCAGGGTGAGTGTTAGGATTAGGTTTTGGGTTGAGGTTAAGGTCAGGGTTACGATTAGGACCAGGGTGAGTGTTAGGATTAGGTTTTGGGTTGAGGTTAAAGTTAGGGTTAAGATTAGGGCCAGGGTGAGTGTTAGGATTAGGTTTTGGGTTGAGGTTAAAGTTAGGGTTAAGATTAGGGCCAGGGTGAGTGTTAGGATTAGGTTTTGGGTTGAGGTTAAAGTTAGGGTTAAGATTAGGGCCAGGGTGAGTGTTAGGATTAGGTTTTGGGTTGAGGTTAAAGTTAGGGCTAAGATTAGGGCCAGGGTGAGTGTTAGGATTAGGTTTTGGATTAGGTTGGGTAAGGTTAGGTTTTGATTAATGGAAGTAACATATTAAGTCTACTTCATATAAAATATCAATAACACATCTACTTAATCTAAGTAATGTGTCAACAGAACATCTACAAGATATTTACTTCAGTGTATTCAGATGCTTCACTGCTGCTACTGCACTGATATGTTGTTGATGTGTTACTAATACTGTGTTAAGAGTTTATTAATCATCTACAAAGGACCACTCCAAATAAAGTGTTACCAATATCTTTTGTACTTCTTAAATTGTTTTTTCTTCTTTTTAAACATCTTTTTGATTTCTTTTAAAATGAAGTTGAAAGATTTACAGTGCTGTGAAAAATTTATTCTATTTTTGCATATTTGTCACATTTTAATGTTTCAGATCATTAAATTATTTTTAACATTAGACAAAGATAACCTACCGGAACACAAAATGCTGTTCTGAAATAATGATTTAATTTACTGAAGGAAAAATGCTGTTGGGTTCAATTTCATTAGCCGCACCCAGGCATGATCACTGCTAGACCTGCTGAATGCAAGCATCACTTAAACAGAACCTGTCTGGCAATGTGAAGCAGCTAGAAGGTCTCAAGAAACAGCACATGATGCCACATTCTAAAGAGATTCAAATACAGATGCGAAACAAAGTCTTTGAAATCTACCATCTGGAAAGGTACAAAGTTACAAAGCCATTGCTGAGGCTCTGGGACTCCAGTGAATGACAGTGAGAGCCGTTATCAACAAATGGAGAAAACTGAGAACAGTGGTGAACCTTCCCAGGAGTGACCAGCTTACCAAAATTTCAACAACGACTCATTCAGGATGTCACAAAAGAACCAACACAAACATCTAAAGAACCGCAGGCCTCACTTGCCTCAGTTAAGGTCAATGTGCACAATTCTACAATCTAACAGACACTGGGCAAAATGGCATCCATAGGAGAGTTACAACGGGCAAACCACTGCTGACCAAACTGAACACACAGGCTCGTTTTGCATTTGCCAAAAGACATCTAGATGACCCCCAAGACTTTTCCGATAATATTCTGAGGACTAATGAGTGGAACTTTCTGGAAGACATGGGTCCCGTTACATCAGGCGTAAAGCTAACGTCACATTCCACCATAAGAACATTATGCCAACAGTGAAACGTGGTGGTGGTAGTGTGATGGTCAGGGGCTGCTTTGCTTCTGCAGGACCTGGATGACTTGTCATGATGGAACCATGAAATCTGCTCTATCAGAAAATCCTGAAGGAGAATATCTGCCCATCAGTTTGTGACCTAAAACTCAAGTGCAGTTGGGCAGGACAGCAGGACAATAATCTGAAGCAACACAAGCAAGTCCACCTCTGAATGGCTCAAAAGAAACAAAATGAAGGTTTCAGAGTGGCCGAGTCAAAGTCCTGACTTGAATGCCATTGAGATGCTGTGGCAAGACCTTAAAAGGGCATTTTTGATAAAAAAAAATTCAATGTATCCAAATTAAAACAATTCTGCAAAGAAGAGCTGAAATTCCTCCACAGTGACGTAAAAGACTTCTCGCAAGTAATCGCAAATGTTTGATTGCAACCCCCATTTTCACATCGCTATTAAAACACAAAGAGCTTTAGTCCATAGGCGGAGCCTTATTTTAGACACACCCCTTCATTTTAGAGCAGAAAGTGAGGCTGCATCCCTATCCCTCATTGCCACATGGTGAGCAATTAGATGCCATTGTTTTGAAGTAAATGTGCCCTAAAGTCTGAAAATCAGTGTGTAAAAATAAGAAGTGTCACTACCGAAACCCATATTTTCAACAATTTAATAAACTTTTTTGTGTTTTAATGAAATATATGACTTTATGTGTGTACAAGTGTTCAAAGCTGTGTTTGCTAATCACTGTCACTACCGAAACATTTAGTAAACGTTTGTTTTGATAAAATCACAGAAGTCCAGAGAGGCCATGAGGTAGTTATAATTTTCTGGATTGTTATTTTGAGATAAAGAGTTAATTAACTTGTGATCTCAAGATAACAAAATTGTTATCGTGAAATAATGGGTTACTTGTCTTGTTATCTAACAGCTCATGGCCTCTCTGGACTTCCGTACAAAATGAAATGTTTAATCATTTATTTTAATGAAATAAACATGATTAAGGGTCACTCAAAGCAAACGGATTTTACCCCCAAGTCCAAATCAGTTAAAAGTCCGAAATGTGTTTTGAATTTTGATTTTGAAGTTACCAGTTAGAATGATACACATAATGATTCCAACACTCTTAAAACTAAAGGTGACAAAAAGTGAATAATGCCTTGGAGCAGTGACGCCCAAATTGTGGCCTGTTCTGTCAACAAAATACTCTAATCCAGCTCTTCATCCCATAAGAAAACAGGCATATTTTTATATCATATATACAATTTTTTGTGTGTTTTGTGTATTCTATCTATCTATTTGTATATTGTTTTGTCTTATTGGACCTTGGCCCTCCACAAACAGAGCACTTGAGCTCCACACAGTTAATAATGTTATGGACTGTAGATGGTCCCTAAATTCCTTGCAATCGTGCATTGAGGAACATAGTTCTTAACCTATTGGACTACTCACTCATGCAGTTCTTAACAACATGGCAACAGGGCCTATCGTGAATGCTCCTTTATATATATATATATAAAGGATATATCATGATAGCATCACCTGTTGCCTATTCACCTGTTTACATGTGAAAAGTTTCCAAAAAAGGTGTTTTTGATCATTCCACAAACTTCTCAGTCTTTCACCGCCCCTGTCCCTGCTTTTTTGGAATGTATTACAGGCATCAAACTTGGAATTAGCATATATTTACAAAAAGAGGATTTTATTACCAGCACAGGCCTACGTGGATACAGACTATCGGGCTTAATGTTCAACAAATCATGGAAAATAACGCAAAAATGATTTATTATGAAGTTATGGCAGTGCGGAATTGATGTTTGAAGTTGTCAATGTTAACTGTTAAGCTTAATATGACAAACTTAAAATATGGAATTAAACATCTAAAAACACAGCTCAGTGTCTAGTTGGTGTCCAGTGTCCATTATATTTAAATCTGCATTGCAGACATTAAAATAGAATAAAGTAACAAAAATTATTAATACGACAAGAGATTCATTTTAAATTTTTTGAAAGAGACGTTTTGGAAGGATCTGTGCCGGCGCACTCACACTGAGCCAGGTCTCTGGTAGCCGTTGCTTGAATCTGGCCGGTGGCGGAGGAGCCGTTTGGGTGGCAGGTCAGGGTGTGGGGCGGTTCTAGATCCGTCTCTGTGCTCCACGGCCAGCAGACTCTGCACTGAGCCAGCACAGCTGCGTCGAGCTGAAATTAAACAGGCACAACACCAGTAACTCACAGAGCCTGCAACTAAACACTGCTCACTTCATACATCATATTACATAACTGCAATAAAGATACTTGTTTAATATTTTGAGAATATGACCAATAACATTTTTCCTTATTGGCAATTTGTCTTCCAAATAAGTCAACATTAATTTCCAGTGTTCTAGATCATCAATAATAGCACCATCACTGGGGAGGACAAAGGCACAGTGGTACTTTGTAGCTATACAACAGTAACTTGTTGTCACTCCAGGGTTGACAACAGTCCACTAACCAAAAATATTCAGCCAACTGAGGTCTTGCAGTCAGAAACTGACCACTGAATAAAGGCAAAAAAACAGGTAAATGGTCAGAAACAGCAAAACACAACAATGAAAAGAACCGGTCAGTAGCTCTGTAAGAAGAAGCAACACCTCGCAAAGTCCAACTCTAAAAGCCTGGGCTTTATACTAACACTAACTACGAGTGACAGGTGAAACACATCAGTACTCAGGAGACTGTGAGCGATGATTGGAGTGTGTGGTGGGGTCAGGAATCATGTGATCCCCCAAAGGGTTCTGGGAGATGGAGTCCAAGTAGGTTTCAGAGCAAGAGGGATGCAGGACAGATTAGCATTACAGAGAAAAATAACATTTATTTCTGTAGGTTTACAAACGCAGTAAAATGAATAAAATGCAGATATTTTAACCCAGTAACCCAGCATCACCTAAACATTCTGCTCTTCTATAATACTAATATATAATTAACATGTCATCTAATATCAGTTTGAAATATCAGTCAAATCTAAACATCTGTCTGATACCAATATTTTTAAAGAAATTATCTGCTGATGCCAATAAGATTCAAAAATCATTGCGCATCCCTCCATGTAAGAGTTGCACTTTCAAAGGAATGGCTTCATCTGTTTCAAGGGGCTGCATGTGATAAATAATAAGAAATAATTAGGGACTTGGCTGATTATGAGGGATTGGAGCTGATCCAGCCAAGTTTGAATGGATCAACTATATTAAGCAATTTCAGTGATGATCCCTTGATATTCATGTTATTTGTACAGGTGGCATAAACAGACACAACCCACAACCTACAGCAGTGCTTTCAGACCTTTTATCTTTCTTCAAAACTTGGGCACTTAAAATAAGAGCGTGTAGTTACTACGCTCTGAGTTTTTATCCTTTCACTTACTGCAAGCTTCGTGCCACTGTGCCAATGTAAAACCAAGAGGAAGTTGCAGGCTACTGCACTCAGAGCAATATGACACTGTATCACATATTAAAGTGGTTAGTTGATATAAATAAACCACACAGAAATCAAAGGACATCTGTAGGAGTCTGTAAGCGTGTATGTGATTTTGCTGCAGCATTGAAATGTCAAGCCATTAGAATAATTAACCAAACTAAATCAAGAAATAGTAAACACACAATAAAAGTAAAGTCACTTTTAAACTAGTAAGCAAAATGTATCATGACACTCTATGAACTTACTAAAAATTGAGGGATTTTAATTGACATACAGTACCGCCCTCCACCAAAAAGGGTAGTTCTACTGTTACAAGCTTGATATCATAATAATATCAGGACCCTTTCTGGTGCTATATAAAACCATTTTCAAAAAGGTTCCATATAGAACCATGTACAACACACTGTCCAAGAACCTGTAGAACCATTTCACCAAGCAAAGAACCATTTAAACAAGAAATAGTTCTATACAGAACTCATGTTTCTAAGTAGAATGAATGCTTTTCCTAAAAACTCATCTTTTTTAAGTGTGTATTTTTAGAGGCTGCTTTGCCTGGAAATGAACAGACTTTCACTGAAAGTATGCGCTGTTTACCTTCCAGGTTGTGCAGCGATCTGACAGATGGAGCAGGTGAACAAGTGAACTGAGCTGATCTCTGTGCGATTGTTGAGGAGTGGGGGGCTTTTTTAGGGGCCGGGGAGGACCTGGAAGCTGTAGGCACAGAGCCGAGGCTGCGAGAGTCCTCCGAGTCCGTTCGTGCCGTGTCTTCTCTGGAGCTGGACTCACGGCTGCTGAGGCTGGTGCAGGCCGGGCCCTGGGGCCCGTTGGAGGACAGGGAAGAGGGGCTCCGGCGCAAGACTGTCAGAGAGGCCTTCTCTTTGGGCTGAGAGGAGGAGCCTGTCTTTGAGGAGCTGTTCTGCTCAGAGGAGTGGGAGGAGAGGGACTCCATGCTGCCCATAGGGGTGCTGCCCGAACTGCTGCTGAACGTGTCACCTACTTGGACAGTTTCAAAGTGAGAAAAAATACTGTAGAATCCAAGCAGAGACATTAAATATTTGGGATGAAATAATGTTTGACTTAAAAGTTCATTACACTGTCAAAACTGAACAATATGCTGATACGCTTCTTTTATTTAATCAAAACCAGTGCAAAGAAGAGACATTTATTATTTTACCTTAACAAATTGATTGATTTTTGTACACTAATTCCAAATATGATGCCTGCACCACATTCCAAAAAAAGTTGGGAGAAGGGCAACAGAGGAAAGTTTGTGGAGCATTGATGAAAGGCTCAGTTCCCACTTTGCATAAAATGGAAAAAAAAGTCCAGCGGTTTATGTATGTTTCTAAATGTACGACTACAAGCAATTCGGAATTTCTATCAATAACAAAGTTCACGATTCAGCAAATCCTGAGAAATAAAGGGCAAGGCGGAAAACCAATACTGAATGCCCATGAACTTCAATCCTTCAGAAAGCACTGCATTAAAAAAATAGACATGCTTCTGTAATGAATAGAACCACATGGGCTTGGAAATGCTCTGGAAAGCCCTTGTCTGCAAGCACAGTTCATTGCTGCATCTACAAATGCAAGTTAGGACTCTACTATGCAAAGCAGAAGCCATATATCAACAACATACAGAAACACCGCCGACTTCTCTGGGCTAAAGCTCATCCAAGATTGACTGAGTGGAAACGTGCTGTGGTCTGATGAGTCCATCTTTCAAATTGTTTTTGGAAATAATGGACATTGTGTTTTCCAGATCAAAGAGGAAAAGGACTATCCTGATTGTTATCAACACAAAACGCATTACACAACTGCAATGTCCTCAGACTGTTGAGCAGTTAGTGTTACATCAAGCAAGAAAGGGAAAAAAATCTCACTTTCACAACTATCCCCAGTTTCCAAACCATTACTGAACACAGGTAAAAAGAAAAGGTGATGTAACACAGCGGCAAACATGCCCCTGTCCCAACTTTTTGGAATATGTTCCAGGCATCAAATTTAGAACAAGCATTTATCTACAAAACATAAAGGTAATTAGTCGAAATGTTTAATATATTGAAATTCGACTGTTTTCAATTGAATGCAGATCAAAAAGGACTTTCAAATCATTGCTGTCTCATTTTTAATTGCAATGGAATTGAGTTTGTATGTAACCACATTTAAATAGTAATGCAAAATGAAATTCTAAGGGTTAATGAATAAACCTGATCTGTGCCTTTTTTACAAATAAAAAGTGTACAGGAAAGTTTAAATAGGGATTAATAATGGTAACGTTAAACTCACTGTCTGCATCAGCCAGACACAGTGTGGGAGTGTATGGGCTCTTGGGTTTGCGGGGTCCTGTGGAGAGGCAGATGGCTCTGCTCCTGCGTGACTCTGGCCGGGACTGGGCCTGTGGCAGGGCCACGTTAGGGTCCGGCGCCTGGTGGAAAATCTGCAGGTGTCCATGCACAACAGTCAGGCAAAACTGTGGTTGCTGTGCAGCATGATGGCATTTCACTAAAAACTAGTGCAAAGTTCAGAGGGCGGCATTTAGTTTAGTTGACCTCAATCCAGTCAAAATGGCCATTAAGCACAAGTCATTTTTTTTTATTTACAATATAAAAACAAGAAACATATCAGAAAACTACAAAAAAGCCTCCAACACTAACTGTATGCAACCTTTTTCCAACTCCCCCATCCTTCCGATCTTAAAAGAGATCAGCTACAACACTGTTCTCCCAACAGAAGCTGTCACTGAATTCAGGTTTCCTTTCAAGAAGACACTAAGGCCCAATCCCATTTCACCCCTCGCCCCTACCACTCAGCCCTTAGCCCTCTGTTTTGCGCATTCACGTCTAGGTTTAGGGTGTCCTGATTCTTGTTGATTCTTGTATTATGTTCATTTTCTTAATAACAAGCATAAACAAATCGCTAATAAGATGCTAATGTTTTGGTAGCTAGCTAACTAACTTTCCCGTTCCACCTTAAATAGTCCAGCAGTTCTGACGCCTGAAGTGCCAGAATGCAACTGCTGCACCATTTAAGGTGAAATGGGGAAAATCTGAACAAGAATCTGGTGAATATCTGACTTCAGCTTCATATCATCAGAATTAGGGGGGGTGATAATAAATAATTGCCCCCTCTTTGAAGCCATATGATTCCCTAAATGTAACTAAAGCCCAGCAGTGAGGAGCTGAACTTTACCCTCCTCTGCTGTCACTGCAGACTGGCAGGGTCGCCTACAGAGCAGCACTAGTAGCTGTTAATGAAGTAATGTTTTTCTTTTTACTTTGAGGGTTGACCAATTTCATAGGGCAAGATTTCAACTACTACCCCTTGTAACTCAGTTCCAAGGGGTTAGGGAGACACTCGAAAACAAGGGGGTAGGGATAAAAAGAAGAAATGGGACTGGGCCTAATTTTCATACAAGCTACTAACCAAACATACTTTAATTTAGACGTAAGATAATCGATTTGCATAAGGGGGAATTCAATGTTCCCAAAACGAGTTCAAAGATGATTAAAAGATATGTAGAAAATGAGACTCCTAACAACCTAACAACAGACCTGGTGGACACCAAAACTGCCCCCATCACCTAGACAGCATTTATAGCTTTCATCTTTAAGAGAGAGGACAAAATCAAGCTCCATGTATCAGATCAGAAAACATTAACAGGTGATTGTCCATCCTTCCACTGTGAGAGGACGACTCAGCTGCAGCAGAAGTAGATTCAAATAACCTAAATACTTTCTGCATTCAAATGTGCACTTTTTCACTGAATTTCACAAAGATTCAAATTTTATTTACACAGCTCTTTTGAAAAGTGGGCCTGTTTCTTGACTCTCTCTTACAGGAATGAAATAAAACGAGTGCTGACTCTTAACTTGCCTTTTCAAAGTTCTCAATCAAAATCTCCACCACCACGTTCTGGAACTTGATGTTCATCATGGCAGCCACAGTCTCCTCTTGAGAGCGCATGAGCGTGGGGCCGAAGATCACCCCCAGGTTGGACACGGTCATCATGTTGCTCTTACTGTGGGTGGACACGCTACAGGAACCAGACACAAAAATTCCACTGAAACAAGAACACGTTTTTCCACTGCACAATCAAAAACAAGAACAGACCCAAATGGGAACCAACAGAATTTACGATTCTAGTTCTGGTTTATTTTCCACCTGCTCAAGATAAAACTGGAACTGCTGTGAAAAAAAACACTCAAAAGCATCCAATTTGGATACATACTTGCCAGTTAACTTAATGGATAACATTAAATAATGCACTAAACTGTTCTGTGTGCTCATAACAATGTCTAAGCAAACAAAGCCTAGCAAAGCTTCCTTTTTTCCTGAAGGAGTGAACTGATGGAGGCATGATCTGATTTGCTTATTACAGCTTAACATGAGTTGTGCTGAAATAATAGTTCACATACAGTCACATCTACCTATCTACCTATCTATCTATCTATCTATCTAACTATCTATCTATCTATCTATCTATCTACATATCTATCTACATATCAATCAATCTATCTATCTATCTGTCTATCTATCTATCTATCTATCTACATATCTATCTATCTATCTATCTATCTATCTATCTACATATCTATCTATCTGTCTATCTATCTATCTATCTACATATCTATCTATCTATCTATCTATCTATCTATCTATCTATCTACATATCTATCTATCTATCTATCTATCTATCTACATATCTACCTACATATCAATCAATCTATCTATCTATCTGTCTGTCTGTCTGTCTATCTATCTATCTATCTATCTATCTATCTATCTATCTATCTATCTATCTATCTTCTAGTTCACATTCTGGTGCATATATTGGTCACACAATAGTGATTAGTGACTTCATCTGGAAGAGTAAGGTATTTGCTAAACTGTCGTTAGCTTCAGCAGCAAGTGAAACAAACAGTAGTCCTTAGACAGCAGACAGTACAGACTACAGACTTCATAATTCATCCCGTTGCTTTTGACAGCAGTTACATTATTAATAAATCCAAGGGAACCAGTTTCTCTGGGAGCCCCACATACCTACGCCATAACACTACCTCCACCATGCTTTACAAATGAGGTGGTACGCTTTGTTTATGAACTGTACAGGCTTTTCTATTTATTTACTTATATTTTTGGCAAACTCTAGTCTTTCTGTTTTTGAGGCTTATATCTTGTGTATTTACTCTGGTGAAATCTTCTTTTTGGTGTTTCTGAGCTCACCAGTATGTTCTCTTCTACTAATAATGCACCAAATCTTTAATTTGGCCAGACACAATGTTTCTGCTATCTCTCTGTGACAGCTCTTTGGAGATCTTATTGATAATCAACAGCAACAGATTCCAAATCCAACATTTGAAATTAACACCAGATATTTGATTTGTGTGTTTATTTGCATAATTAAGTGAAATAATGAGGGAATAACACCAACTGGCCACAAAACAGCTAAGCCAATTACTTTTGAGCCCATTAAAATAGGGGGCCGTGTTTGAAGATGATTGTAATTCCACTGTCGTTCACCCAATTTGGAAGTAAATACCCTCGAATTAAAGCTGAATACATTTCGTGCTTATACTCATTTAATATTCCGATCCAATTTGTTGTGGTAGACAACTTTGTAGACACTGAAATATTCATGGACCTGACTGTATAGTCTATGGGCAACCATCCAAACAAAGTGCTCAATTATGTAATCATAATAATGTGCATTAATCTGTATAATAAATGTTAGGAAAGAAATGAAGGAATGAACCAGAGAGCATTCTGTCCAGAAAAGAACAAGCTTATCTGAGTAGCTGAGACAGTATAAGACGGAGTATCTAAGGCAGTGGGGGGTAGGGGGGTGGCGTACGTCAGCAGGTGCTTTATTAGAATCTCCAGCATCTCCTTATTTCTGTCAGGCAGTTTGTGCACCAGAGCATGCACAGCACACACTCTGTAGTTCTGGTCATCTGATTCTGTAACACAACACAAACATATGAATATGAGTCTACAGTCATATACAAATGTATGTTGGTATAGTGTAGTGGGTAAAACCTCTGTCTTCTACACTGTATATTGGGGTTCAATCCCCCACCTGGGATAAACACCCTACACTATACCAATAAGAGTCCTTGGGCAAGACTCCTAACACTGCCTTCACCTACCTGTGTAAAATGATCAAATTTTAAGTCGCTCTGGATAAGAGCGTCTGCCAAATGCCGGAAATGAAACAAACGTTTTACGTCATAAGATAAATGAATACATCCTATGTAGAGAACACACTTCTGTACATTTTAATACACAGTTACTGTTAATGTGCTAAAATCAACATATTTGGGAAAAAGTATAAAATATAGCTTGTGCAAATGTTATGGCACTTTGAATACACTATATGACCAAAAGTATGTGGACACATCCTAATTACTGAGGCATTTGAGTCACACTCATTGCTAACAGTGGAATAAAATCAAGCACATAGCCTTGCAATCTCCACAGACACACACTGGTAGTAGAATGGGTCGTAATGAAGAGTGCAGTGACTTTACACATGTCACTGTCATAGGATGGCACTGCCCACTGAGCAGCTGCCCACAAGCCTGAGATCACTATGTGCAATGCCAAGTGTTGGCTGGAGTGGCGTAAAGCGCCGCCACTGGACTCCAGAGCAGTAAAAACATATTCTCTGGAATGAGGAACTAAGCTTCACCGTTTGGCAGTCTGATGGACAAATCTGGGTGGATGTGAGTAGAACGCTACATAACAGAACACACAGTGCCAAGAGTGAAGTATGGTGGAGGAGGGATAATGAGCTGGGGCTGTTTTTCAGGGTTTGGGCCCCTTAGTTCCAGTGAAGGGTGATGTTAATGCAACAGCACACAAATACATTTTAGACAAATATATGCTTCCAGCTTTGTGGTTACAGTTTGGGGAAGAGCCTTTGCTGTTCCAGCATGACTGAGCCCCTGTGCACAAAGCGAGCTCCATAAAGACATGGCTGGGTGAGCCTGGTGTGGAGGATCTTGAGTGCCCTGACCTCAACCCCACTGAACACCTTTGGGATGAACTAGAACGGAGACCGCGAGCTAGGCTATCTTGTCCAACATCAAAGCCTGATCTCACAAATGCTCTTTTGACTGAATGGGCAAAGATTCCCACAGACACTCTCCAAAAGTTGCGGAAAGCTTTCCTAGAAAAGTGGAGGCTGTTTTTCCTACAAAGGGTTGAGGACTCCATATGAAGGCCTATGGCTTGGAATGGGATGTCAAACAAGCTTATATAAGTGTGATGGTGAAGTGTCCACCTAGGTGGCCATATAGTGTGTTTTTGTTTTTTTTTTTGATATGGTATCCACAAATAAAACTGGACTAAAATTAGCATTTTTTGCATTTACATTTAATTGAAGTGTGAGAAAAGTAGTCATCCAATCAGTTCCAGCAGGTCAAATGATGTTTTTCAACATTTTTCACTGTTTAGCACTTATGACTAGCATAAACTTACAGCGTGGACTAAACGTGTTTCAGACATTTTCTGAGATATGTAAACAAAAACAAACAAACAAACGTTTTCTGACTTACTGACAGCCTGGATAAAGTCTTCATGAAGCCTGTATGTCATGAGAGGCTCGGAGAGACACCTAGTGGAGGAGAAAAGGAATTGCAAGCCATGAATTCCCACAAACTTCTCATCTCCTCACTACTTCTGTTCAGCTGTGTAGACCAGGCATTATTCATTATGAGTTATTTTACAGAAAGCAAAGCTGCTGCTATGCCCAGTGCTGGTTTAGACCATAATGGCAGCTTGCAGCCCATTTTAAAGAGGACAGGACAGGCAAGCTCACCTGAGATAATTCTTCAGTCCACTGGTGATGGTCTTATTGTCCCATGTATCAGGGTCAAGGTCCATGTCTGCTGGGGCTTTGGGTGCTGCAAGATGGACGGTTTATATGAGAGAAGCATTCACACTACCAATATCTGACAAAGTGGACCTGGCCATTTAGAGGGAATTACCAGGGATTTAAAAAAATTAGCATAATTTAATCATTATAATGTAAATAATATCAATCAGAATGCTTTGATGTGGAGCACAGTTTTATCTACAGTGGTGGTGACAGGAACCAGGGGTCGCAATGTCTACAACACAGTCATTTCATTTACTATTCAAAACAACCAGTGAAGCTACATGGTTTAAGTGTTTATATGTAATGCTGATAATGGAATAATTGTGGTACATCTGAAAAAATAGGTTTTCTTTGGGAACTGTTTTGCCTCACAACACCCTGCATGTACCTCCTTAACCTTATTTCAAAACTTCATCTCAGAGCGATATTAAAACAGTGTCTCAGGGATCAGGCAGAGCATTTTTAACCATTGCATATACAAACTTCCTGTGATGGAGCTTTTAGAGGCATAAAACACTTGAGATGTCTGGTTCCCATCACTGCTACTGTGAACAATTCTGAATCAGTTCGTTTCTTTTTCACATGAAATGGTTATGAATTTCCTGATGCCTGATACTCTCTTTTATGATAGTTTTGAGAAAGCTTTCGCCTAATGTATTTTTTAAATCTTTTCAGGGTGGAGAGAGACATGTGAGGCATTGTAGGATAAAAAAAGTCCCCGAAGAATTATTCAGATTTATGACTATTTTTCCCATTATCAACATTACATATAAAAAAGTTTGCATGTAGGTTCACTAATTGTTTTGGATAGTAAATAAAACGGACATATTCGTAAAAAAAAATAAAATAAAAAATGAACTTAACTTAAAGTAAGTGTTTGGGCTACCTTCATTTCCCATATGATAATTAGAGTTAATTCCCATACATCAAACACAAGGCCCATGGGCCTGATCAGGTCCATTATCCAGCCCACAGAATTTTAATTTTCTATTAATATTAGCCCATTTCTTCTCTTTCATAATGCTTTGCACTACAATCCACAGTATGCACTGCAACATAACGTGCGCTAATTCAGGTACCTATATAGGTTTAAAAGACTTACATCCTGAGGACATTTTTTTCAATATTTCAAGCTTTCATGTAATATTTCAAGGGTTAGGTTAGGGTCAATGTGTACTACAAGTACCTATATTTTGCTGTTGATGTTTTGGCCTATTTTAAACAAACAATGACCAGTTCAGGTTATAACAAAATGTTATTTAAAACTGAAATAAAGACACAGATGTTCTCTGGCCCTCCGATTTGTTGAGATTTTAAATATGGCCCTTTTAGTGCTTGAGTTTGACACCCCTGAGTTAATTGCTCTTTAAATAGTAAGGAAACAGAACAAGAGTCTGTGTTTATGTCCTGTCAACTTATTATTTACAGTTCAAATAACTCAAAATTTTAACACAGCCCAACTTTTTGAATCGTTTTAAGTTAAAATCGACATTTTTTTCCAACACATCTACCTTTTAACCATTTCACATTAAAACACCCTGAATGATTTTGTTTACATCTCAATGACTGAATTACACAGAATATTTAAAAAATATGTGGCAATCCTCTCTAAATGGCCAGGTCCTTCCAGCAGGTCTGAACTTTTGATACACAAATCTATATCTGAAGAACGACTCAGTCAGTTTGCATTGTAGTTGATGTTGCTACTAAATAATGAGTTTTAAACCCTATTTAGGTTGGATTAGTTGATCAGGGGACACGTCTCCTCAGTGATAAACCTCTTGTATCGGGATGGCAATAAAAATAATGCAGAATGAGTGTGTTTCCAGTTGTATTTTCTATAAACTCAGATGGCTGCATTATTATTTCTAGAAAACTAAAAGTCAATAATATTCTGCATAATATGAATATAAAGTAATCTCCCTGTAGCTTCTATTATGATCACCCTTCATTCTGTCTGACCTGCTTCATTTTCTTTCTCCTCCAGCTAATGTCCTGTGTAAAGAGGATGGACATGAAGTTGTACCACCTAGTCCCAGTAAAAGGTTGGGAGACTCTTTCGAAGCATCCACGATTCCATGATCTGGCGAGAGTTTAATAGGACTATGCACACTATAAGACTAAATACAGTAGCAGCAGTCAGAATCTCTTTTTTCTACACAAGATAACATCTGCTGGGAAAATCATGCAGATGTGCATGTGGTCGGGACTAAAACGATCAGAGTTCAGTGAAAAGTTGGTAATTGAGACTGAAATTTTCTTAGGCGAAAAGGCAGAAAATCACCGACATGGCCAATCCAAACGGAAGTAATTTCCCAAAGCAGCAAAATTAACCCAGTAGGAAGTAGGAAATTAACCCAGGACCCCATGTAAATTTAATAAGCCTGGGATTTTAACAGCTTAAACTGCAAAAAATGCATTTTAAATATTATTCGGCACCACTTTACAATACGGCTACTCTTATAAAGGGTCTATGAATGATTTAACATTAGCTTATTAGTGGTTATTAATTAGCAGGTACGGCACACAAATGAAAGGGCAACAGTCAGTTTGGAGAACACAAAGAATGATATGCAACCAGCAAAATCTAAGGCAGGTGTTCTCAATGTTTTCCACCTCAAGGCTCGCCTATTTATCACTAGAACACATTGGGCCCACTGGAAATACTACTACTACTACTACTACTACTACTACTACTACTACTAATAATAATAATAATAATAATAATAACAACAACAACAACAATACTTTATAATTAAAAATATATATTATTGATCAAAAACAATATTGATCTAGCGCAATCTGTCTTAATTCAGCGCTTCATTCTGAGTTTTTGAAGCAAATGAAAGTAAGATAAGGTTATTTCTCTGTCTCCTCTTCATCTTAATGTTAGGCTGTATAAAATACGTGTTAACTAACTGAATCCTGAGTGAGGAGAGCACGGCAGTGACCTGTTTTCTCTCATTATCTAATCTTATTTCAAGGCGTTTTTCCTGTTTAAATTCATTGTTGATATCAGGGCCGTCGCCGTCGGACATTTTCAGCACAGTTATACGCAGCACGTAACTGTGAACATACAATATGAGCAGATCAGGCTAAAGTCAGCTTGTTTCACACCAGAAATCAGTGGTTTCTGCAACTCGTTGTTATATCAGTCACTTGAGAGTGGACGAGTGGAACTTCAGAGGTGGCAATAAACACACAAAGCTGCTTTGCAGTTGTCATGTTTTTTAAATTAATCTATATTTCTTTTTTATTAAGTCAATTTATTTTCACTGATTTTTATGAGGTAAAGTACCTTCAGCGGCCCACTAAGGACCACTGAGTAAAGGTTCAAGGACTATAAGAAGGGGCTGCATGACCCCCTGATCTGGGGTTTAACAGTATAGATGAATGTTGACTCAGTATTTGGGAAGCATCAGGTCACTGATACACTTTCATGTGTAATGATTACTGATTTTAAGCTGTTTATGACCTACAACCATTACTAAACTAATTTTAAGCCATTTATAAACCCTTTATAAAGGTAGTCTTACTGTAGAGTGGTACACATAAGTAAGTCTATTTAAGATGACCTACCTTGTTGGCAAATGATTTGAGCATGCAGTTTGCACAATGCTAATTGGGCTAAATGTCATTCTATTACTGCACTATTACCTGTTAGCTACATTAGCCTCATAGCTCCACTGCAAAATTAAGAATGTACACTTTGGATATCAAATGTCTGAAAATGGTACAAGTTCGATTTATTTTATCAAACTACTGCTTTCAGAAGTCATTTAGTCTCCCTTCCTATGTAAGGGGGTAACTGCTTGGCCGGCAAGTGGCTCAGTGGACATTTTGTTGGGGTGTAATTTCTGTTTCTGAGTCAGACGGAGCAGCGCCACCCAGAGAAGAGAAACAACACCAACCTGCACTCAAACACGCTCACGGCGAGTGGGTTCTTGCTAATCAGGTGTTTGGAGCTTTATCTGCATGTGAGCACTCTGACAGTACTGCATTAGAAACAAGGATTAACCTTTAAAGCCCCTGTTCACTCACTCATAAGTCTTTTACTATTATCTATGGCTTTTATGATGTTTTCACTATGAACTGGCAGTGAAAGGATGCTGCTGGTCTTTTCTGTTGAGACATTTTTCTTCTGATTGATTTGAGTTGAGTGGGACTAAATTTGGCGTAGGTGATGTCAGATCTGCCAAAGTACTGAGTACCGAGTTCCTCTCCCTCCTAAAGTGACTGCTCTCCCTCTGCTTTGAGCCAAAGCTCCCAGCAAGTAAATGATTTCAGCTTTTCTAGACTTGTTAATGATGAATAAAATGATATAGCAACTTAGAGTTATGTTAGCAACCTCCCCCAACATCAAGGATCCACTCAGACCAGCGCAACACACACTAACACACCACCACCACGTCAGTGTTACTGCAGTGCTGAGAATGATCCACCACCCAAATAGTACCTGCTCTGTGAGGGTCCATGGGGGTCCTGACCACTGAAGAACAAGGTAAAAGGGGGCTAACAAAGTATCAGAGAAACAGATGGACTACAGTCTGTAACTTTGTGGTGTGTGTTGGGGGGGCGCTTTGTTGTTGTCTAGATGTCAACCATGGTTCTTCTGGTAGAACATTGTGAGGCAGGCAGCCATGTCTTTGTGTAGGCCTCTGCATAGCAAGTGTATCGAGATTTCAACTGGAACAATTCATTTTACAAGGGATATTTTGATGGATTCTGTCCTTTTTAGGCTTGCTGGTTAATGATTAATCACGGACTAATGGTGGCCAGTTATTGGTCAAAAGAAACCGCCAAAATTTGCACCCCTAAAAGGAAATAAGTTGCAGTTTGAAATGGCTTACAAAAGACTGTGGTCATTAGCTTCTGGACTTTGGAGTTGACTCCCCCTATACGATACAGGCCCATAGTGTTGATCCCTAATAGAGAAGAGACAGAGCGAGAAAGAGAGCGAGAAACAGAAAGAAGGGCACAAGACAAATCACAAATAATCATCATAATAGATGCACATTCACATTTTAGGCTAAACGTCTAAACCCTTAAATGAGTGCTTTCACAAATGAATTAACGTCGAGACTTTTCTGATGCAAATGGCAACAAAAAGCACTCAAGCCAAAGATCACAACTCCACTCACCCCTTATCTCAACCATGCGTATGCACTTCTTCACAAAGTTAAAGCCAGCCTCGTTCAGATGCGCTGTTCAAAAAAAAACAAAAAAACAAACTGATGAAAGTGCGAGTTTGGCGGATTGAACATCTGAAGCACTCGGGGGGAACAGAGCTTTCTGAGCGTAACGCTCTCGACCTTGCCCAGAGAACAGTGCAGTGAGACAGATAAGAGTTGCCATGAAGCATTGTCTGAATGAATAACTATGATGAATCCAGAAGGCCTGCGGAGTGCGTGTCAGATCACAGCTGCCTACTGGACTCGCTTTAGCTGACTGACGAGTGTGGGTGCGAAGTCTAATCCAGACAGAAAAGCTTTCAAAAGATGTGAAACAAATGAAATATTAAACCTTCCACTGCGATAAATTAAACATGCGATTAAAAAAGCAAAACACAAATGTACTCACTCTCTTCTTTCTTGCTCAGGATGGCTGGGAGGTTGTAGATCTAGAGGGGTAAAAAATGACAGCACAGCTGATTAACTGCAGACATGACATTTACATTTTACATTTCTGCAGCTGATTGAGAATGTTTCACAGTTTGAGTCTAAAATAATGTTTACTAATCTTTAAATATGCAGGTAGGTCAACAACAGGATGTAATGCACTACAAGCCACAAGTCTGAATAAAAATAAAACATGATTAAGGAATGACAGAATAACAGTGCTGTGGTCACTAATGCAGAACAGGGTCTGCATCTTAAGAGTTTGATTAAACATCATCAGTATTAGTGTGCAGATGATTCTTAAAGGGGATTTCCAACTATTGAATGGTTCGGATCGAATCAAGTCATTCAGAGTGGTTTGATGTGAAATGCTCTGTTTTAGAGAAACAGAAACAGAATTGTTCACAGTGGTGGTGATGGGAACCAGACGTCTAAAGAGTTTCATGTCTCTAAATGCTAAATGGTTACAAAAGTGCAGCTTAATGCCTCAGACAGTGTCTGTGTTTACCTGCAAAGATTTTCTCCAATCCGACTGAATACATTCTGATTACAGATGAAGACCGAGGTGTTTATATTCTCACTCTACTCAACACTCTGATGGAAAATCTCCGTTTACATGCTCACTACAAGTAATCTGATCCAAAATGACGCGCAGAGTGAGTCAGTCCAGTCAGAGTGAGACGGGCAGCAGTGAGCAGCTCTTGTGTTTTTAATCACTTTAAAATGATGTCAGACTCAGGAAAATGTCCTTCACATGTCCTTATTAAAGAAGGCCGAGAGGAAGACGTCGTGTTCTGAGACACATAAGCTGGACGTCCGTCCCACCGCCGTCTTTTAAAGATCAGAGCATAAACTTCGTCTCCTCTGCAGACCAGTTTCTGCTCCGCCATGTTGAACGGTATAAACTTTCACTATGACGTGACGAACATGATCAGAACAGGCTTAAACTTTCCAACTGGGAATGTAATCAGATACAGGTGTTTACATAGATATTATTCTTCTATTTAATGGATTATTTACAGGATTACCCACCTCGATCAGTCAGATAGAAACTGTATTCCGAATGGCCTAAATCAGACTAGACTATTCCCATTGAGCTATTTGTCGGATTATGAAAGGATTATTAGGCTGCATGTAAACATTTTGGCCTAAAATTTATTATTTTTGAATGCTTTCTTGGTGGAGAGGTACATTCAAGGTGTGGTATGGCAAAATCCCCCCTAAAGAAAAATTTACCACTATTTTACCATTATCAACATTACATAATAGACATCAATTTCTGGCAACCTCTGGTTCCTATCACTATCATTGTAAAGAAATCCAAGCCAGTAAGTTTCTCTCTCAGTATATGACCTGAAGTTTGAATTATGCAGATATTTGAAAAATTGTAAAATGTTGCTTTCATTTGTTTGGCTCCCTAGTGACTGTCTTACATAGTTTTAATGTGGTTCTAATGACATTCATGCTGATTCTCCCACTCAGATGCTCCTAAAGACTTGTCTCACTGATTAAGGTGTGTTAAATTCTTATTAAACTGGTCAATGGAATGGGCTGCTATCAACAGTGAAGATAGAGTATCACTGCAAGCCAATGGAATATTTTAAGAAAAACACCTTTGTGTAAACTAGATGTCAGTAAATATGTTTGTGCTGGTTGTTGGACACTGACATAGCTGCTCTACAGTGACACTGAATGGATATTTTGCTGTTTTTTTTTTTATTTCTGCATAAATAAGTGGTTAATAGAGGTTTAATCTCTAAAAAATTTCCATTCCAGAGAAATGTAATGAGTCAGAATTGTTCTCAGTGGTGGTGATAGGAACCAAACATCTGAAGTGTTCACAGTGTCTATAAAAGCTCCCTTACAGAAAGTTAATACAGGACATGGTTGATGCAAAGATTTTGGGCCTAAAACATATGATTTAATAGCCACTCTAAGCAGTACATGCAGGGTGGTATAAGGCAAAATACTACCCAACACTCAACATTTCAACATTTACATAAAAATTCTGAAGAAATGTGTGGGTTCACAAGTTTTAAATAATAAACAAAAGTGGCTATATTTGCATTGTAGACACTGTGACTCCTGGTTCCTATCATCACCACTGTAAATAAAGTCTGTTGAATTCCCTTAAGAAAAGAGCCAAGGGCTCACTTACCGGCTCTTTACCATCCATAGCCTCTAGCCACAGCCTCCTGTTGGACTCGGACAGTGCCTGCAGGGTTACGATACCATGCCTGCACACAGTGCAGCAAACATTAGCATGCTTTAGGGACAGATCACTCCCTTAGATTAGTTATCCTACGAAAGCGCAGCCTCTAGACGGTACTGCCACCTCACGTTTCTACTCTCTTCACCTTTTAAATGGTTATTTTTTGGCCCTTTCCACATCACTAGACAACTCACTGACCAGCTGAGATACTGTGTTTTAATTAATAAAAAATAAATAAAAAAAAGGTAAAGTGATAGTTTGTTAAAAATGTTGCCTTTACCCCAAATGCAGTCAACCAACCAAGACATTTTTGGTGTCCAAAGTTTGCTTCTGTAGTTTTGCACTTGAGCTACAAGGCTAATGTAGCTAACAACAGGGGCTCTAAGACAAATGTTGCTAACTGAAAAGCGTTTGGGTGATATCTAACAATAATTAGCCGAATACTTTCTACACTATTCTTTTAGCTTACAGGCTTTTTTTATCCATGATGATTCATGAGCTCCTGCTGGTGTGAGTTCAAGTCTGTTTCTTCCCTTTAAATGATGCACACAAAAGTGACCTGCATGTTCCCCCTTGTGGAGAAATTTCAGACATGCGTGAGGGAGTGACTTTCAAGGCCAAGTCTGTGTGCTTTACATATTTAATTACAAAATAAAATGAATCAGTAAATAAATAAATGTTTACGTCATTATAGAGGAGGTGCTGCTACAGACAGGGGTGGCACTAGGCACTAGGACCCCCATGAGCCAAGGGCCCCATGAAAACACAAATTACAAATACGGTACATGCTGATGTTAAATAACCTACTGCATAATATGCGTACATTTTGAAAACAACTGTTATTTGTGATTGTAGTGATTATTTTCAGTAATTTCACTGCAGCTCTCTCCCCAGTTAAAAATGGATGCCAATGCTGAGAATATTCCTCAGATGGTATGATATACAGCTGAGACAGTGGCAAATGTTGTCTAGCATAACGGTGTATTAACACTGTAATATTCCACAGTTTTAACAGTAAAAGACATTAAGACATTACATGTACATGCTATTTAATACTATTTAGCAAGCTGTTCAAAATTATTCATCTTTACTTTTCCACCAATTCTCATTCCAAACACAGCGATCACTGGGTTACTTATCAATCATTACTGATCACTGCGTCATAGAGGCCTAACTGGAACATAACTGAAAGTGGATAGTGCACCAGTTATGCACCTCTTTTTATAGAAGCAAATGTCAAACAGCAAACATGACTTGGCTGGTGGTCTACATGGGGGGCTTAGATTCAGTTGCTACTGTAAAACTCAACTTACTAATCATATTTCATTTGTAATGTCATAGCATTGATATTATTGTAGTTACATGTAAATACTACAAATCCATACAGCTACTTTAGCAGATAGGAAAAAATATTAAAAGTACAGCATAGATTTGCTTTATATAGAAATGCATACATTTGTGGAGCAGATTCATGCAAATGAACTGCACATGTCTCTCATCCAAAATCAACCTCATAGCACTGAACCAGCCACTACAATGTCACTGAAGCTTAGCCTTGAAGCTAAATCCAGGCTGTATGAGCTAGTAGCGCGCTACATGGTGAAGGTGAATGATGAAGCCAGAAGCTGGTCAAAGCTGAGGCTGAGGGTCAATCTGCCCTCTTTGTTAGAACAAAGCGCTTTTCTATGGAGGCCATGTGGTGATACACATTCATCTACCACTTATTATCATTAGAACCACCTACCTTGCTGGAGTACAGTAAGAAACTGCCATGCACATCTAAGCCATCCACTAGTTTCTGGCCAGAGATATTTTCAGGGGGTGGACCACTCTCAGCCTACCTAGTGTCACTCTAGCAACACTATTGTGCCTGATACACTCATACAAGTACCACACACACTCTACCATGCCACTACAGATTGATCCATCACCCAATTAATACAAACTCAAATCCTAAAATTGAAGGGTTGTAACAGAAGGTAAAATGCAAATAAAAACAGAAAGCACTGATTTGTAAACTGTCTTTTACAGACATTTAATTGAAAACAGCACCTTAATTTATATTTATTGATGTTTGTAAATTCCAAATTTGATGTTGGCAACACATTCCAAAAATAGTTGGGACAGGAGCAATGTAAGAGTGGGAAGTTTGTGGAATTATCAAAAAGCTCTTGTTTTGAAACCTTCCACATGTAAACAGGTGAACAGATAACAAGTGATGCCATCACTGGGGATAAAAGGAGGGTTCACAAAAGCCCCAGTCACCGCTTTTTCTGAAAAACTGCATTTTTTTGGAGTTAACAGTCCAACAGTTTAAGAACATTTCTTTAAGCACAATTGCAAGGAATTTAGGGGTTTCACCATCTACAGTCTACAGACATGCTTCTGTAACGAATATAACCACATGGGCTCAGAAATACCTTTAAAAATCATTGTCAAGAAAACACAGTTCATCACTGCATGTAACAAATGCAAGTTAAGATTCAGTGCAATGCAAAACAGAAGCCATATTAACATAGACATCCATATATCAAGCTGATGTTTCTGGGCTGAAGCTGAGATGGACTGAGGCAAAGTGGAAAGGAGTGCTCTGATGAGTGCACTTTTTTAAAAATTTCTTTTTCTCAATTTAGTTGTGTCCAATTCCACTAGCTAGGACTCCCTCAATCACACGATGTTTCCAACGCTAGGAGGGCGAAAGGCTATCACCAGCTTCCTCCGAGTCCTGTGAAGCCAGGACGTTGTGTTCTCCAGGCCAAAGAATGAAAGGAGCATCCTGACTGTTACCTGTGTGAAGTTCAAAAGCCAGTGTCTGTCATGCTATGGGGGGTGTTAGTGCCATTGGCATGGGTAACTTGCATGTATGTGAAAGCATCATTAATGCTGAAGGGTACATACGTGCTTTGGAGCAATACATGCTGTCATCTAGATGATGTCTTTTTCAGGGACCTCCACGCTTCTTTTAGCAAGACAAATCTGTACGTGTTACAACAGGGTGCTAAATTGGCCTGCCTGCAGTCCAGACCTACCTTCCATTGAAAACATACTATACATCATGAAGCGTAACAAACAACAATGTAGACTGAGTAAATGAAATGCTACGTCTTGGAATGGGGACTGAATTAACTTGCATATCTGTGAAAGCACACTGACACTGAAAGATAGACACATTTTGGAGGAACAAATGCTGCCTTTTAGCCACTACATTTTTCAGGGATGTCCATGCTAGTTCAACATGACAATGGCAGCAAACATCTTACATGTGCTACAACAGCATGGCTGCGTAATCAGACAGTGCAAGTGCTAAACTGTCCTGTACAGCGGCACAGCAGAAGACTTGTCCAACTGAAGGATGGCAAAAAAATTCTGCTTTCAAAACTGGATCAACTGATGTCTTCAGGCCTAAAATGATTATTAAGTATTGTAAAAAGGAAAGATGATGTAACACAGCTGTAAACACACTCCTGTCTCAACTTTTCTGGAACTGCAGGCATCATATTTGGAACTTTATAGAAATTCATAATGTAAAACATCAAATAATTTGTTTTTGGTTTTTGTACTGTTTTCAATGTATTACAGGTCAAACAGCATTTACTAATCACTGCTTTCTGTTTTTTTATTGGCATTTCATATACTGTCCCACCTTTTTTTGGAACTGAATGTGTGTTCTTTGCTGAATATTTGTCTTGGCATATTAGTGCTGCAAACTGGTGCTGAAAATAAAGGATCCTACCAAGCTGTAATGTTTTGTGCCTTGATGTCAAGTGAGGGTTTTGCGGTCCTTTAAAAAAGCTGTGAGATCGTAAAAGAGACTCAGCCGAGGCTCTTTAGTGTAAATCAAGCCACATCACCACATCATTTGCTGGTGAAAGAGGATCATTTCAGTGCGTTTCTTTCTGAACTGTGCCATTCTGCCCCTCCAAAATCATCAGGTAGTGGATGATTATGATTTTGTGGAGTCAGTAGAATTAAAATGGCAAACAAAGAAACAAACAAACAAAACAAAGCAAAACAAAAACAGGTGTTTGTTCAGAATGGGAGTAAGTGAATGAAATGAAAAAGCAGTGCACATGCATTGTGCCATGCAGCCGCGCTGAAACAGCACACAGCGGGTCACATACCGGACTTTACAGAAATAATGCAGTGGTCGGAAAAGAGTTCCACGACAGACGGCATTTCTATGTCAACATAAACACAAAGACAGGGAAGAATGCACACAGTACATAGTTCATCAGAGAAACAGGTGAAATCTTACACTAGGCGGGCAAACATATATACACCCACATAACTCCTTGTCTTACACGGTACACTGCAGAGGTACTAACGTATACAGTACCATGAAAGACTACCTGCCCCCTCCCGATTTCCTCAATTTATTGCATATTTACCACACTAAATGTTTTCAAATCCTCATGGAAAATGTAATTTAAGACAAGGAGAACTTGATGAAGCACAAAACACAGCTTTAAAATGATCATGTCATTTACTGAAGGCAATTTTTTTTGCAACACCTATATAACCCATCTGAAAAAGTATTTTAATAACTGGTCATGCCAAAAGCTATGATCAAATGCTTCAAAAAGACTGGAGGTCAGTCTTTCACATCACTGTGGAAAGACATTCTTTGCAGAGTTGCTTTAATTCAGTCATATCTTTTGCCATGTCTCTTTCTAATGGTGGAATCAGGAATGCTGACCGTATCTGAGGTGAGCGAGGCCTGCAGTTGCTTAGATGTTCATCTGTCTTCTTTTGTGACTTCCTGGATGGGTCATCACTGAGCTCTTGGAGGAATTTTGGTAGGCTGGCTACTTCTTAGGCCTGATTAACACATACTGCAGCTTGCACGCGCTGGCCTTTCAAACATACACTGTTTATGCTGCGGAGTGGAGCAACAAGAAAGCTATTTCGTCATAAGTTGAATTAAATAAAAAAAATTAAGTTTGTTTACAGTTTTCTGTTTAATTTTCATTGATTTTCATGGCTTATTTCAGTGTTTTTTGCTGCGTGATGCATACGGCGCACGGAAAAAACTGGCGCTGGGTCTATTCTTTAAATACCGTGCCACTCCAGTGCGGCGTCTGGGACGCTCTGACGCTTTGCACGCACAGCCTGTGTAAAAGCACTGACCAGTTAACATCGGTGCTGAATTAAAAATGCCAGACTTTCCGCATCGCTCGCGCCAAACAGAAGCAGTATGTGTGAATCAGGCCTTAGAACGCTTCACTACTGTTTCAGATAATGGCTCTCGCTGTAGTTCACTGGAGTCCCAGAGCCTTAGAAATGGCTTTGTAACCCTTTCCAGACTCTCTTTAGGCATTTTTTTCTGCTTGCAGCATAGCGTGCTGCTTTTTGAGACCTTCTAGTCTACTTTTCTGGAAAGGTTCTGTTTAAGTGATGTTTAGGTCTGGCAGTAATCAAGCCTGGGTTTGTTCAGCATAACTGACCCCAATTATCAACTAAATTTCCTTTACTTTTTCACACAGGACCATTTGGTGTTGGAGAACTTTTTTCCTTCAATAAATGAAATGGTTTGAAAACAATTGAGAGTGGACAGATACGCAAAAATGTAAGAAATCAGGAGGGGGCAAATACTTTGCTATGGCAATGTATGTGCTGAGCCAAATTACAGTACCAACTACAGCACCAGTCAAAAGTTTGGACGCACCTTGCTGAATGTATGTTTTTACACATCTTTACTCACGTCCGACAGTGCTGTCACGGCAGTCTCTAGATTAGGATTTTCTGGTTTAAAGACTAGAAAATTTCCCTATCTGATGATGTATCTAGAAGGTGGAAGGAACCTTTGAAAAAGACTGCTTTGGGCTGGGCTGAATATCTTTTTTGCAGCTTTTTTGCAGTCGTCATTAAAACGGAATAGAGAATGGATTACTCAGCTGACAGAAATGATTCAACGGTTTATGAGGTCAGCTACCTGGAAATCTAGATAACTCAGTGTGGCTTCTTTTTTTCTGGTTTAAAGAATCTTGACAACCACAATGCTAGCTTGGTTGTATGTCTTAGCCTTCTTAGAGATCAGGGGCTAGGCTAGCGGGCAGGATTGGTCGACACAACAGGAACTCCCAATGGTTGTATGTTGTATTTGAGTAATGCATGCTGAGTATTGTAGTAAAAGAACATTGATGAGGTTGTGGGATGCAATGCTGCGCCTCCAAATACTGCATTACACATCAAATAACATTTAATTCTAGTTTTAGGCTGGAATGCCCCTTTACTAGTGCTCAACATATGTGGCTCCTTCAAGCTTGCTGGAAAACCATCTAAGGCTCCTCATGAAGCTGCTTGACAGAACGCCAACAGAGTGTAAAGCTGCCACTTTAAACCATCTAAAGTAGAAGAAGACTTTTTGGTCACCATGAGTCCACATTATTTCATAGATTTGATGTTACACTATTCCAACGAAAGCAAAACATCTCATGAGAAGGTGTAACTTTTGACTTGTACTGTGTTCACTGGTTGTTTTTTATGCAGGTATTATACATGTTTGACCCGATATAGTCAGACGGAAAACAACTTCAAGGTCAGACACGAGTAAAGTACACAAACAAGGCCAGTACATAGTACAGGGTCAGGAAAGCTTACACAAAGACCATGCAGCACACTAGAAATATCTCTGCCACTCCTAAGGTCCAGTCACACTAGCTTTTTGGTTTTGTAAGTGAAATTATACTCTTTTCGAAATATATTGCTGCAATCACGGTTTTCATGTCACACAACTCGCAAGCAAAAGTTTGAGTGAAACTTCAGTTCGACTTCAACTTCTGGTGTTTTGTATCATCGACCAACAGCTTTATTGGTTGTGCTGAGCTCTGAGGGGGCTGTTCTTCACACAGCAGTACTGAAGATCGAAAATAAAGTAAGCGCTAATTTTTACAATGTCTAAACATGATACTTCAGGTGTTTCTTCAGGACTGCCTAAAAAGTAATACATAAAAGAGAGGAAGTATAGTATACAGTCAGGTGCTGGATTATAGGGCTGAGTATGGTTCAAAATACCAATTTTGATATCTTTGATTTCAATACCAATTACTGAACAATAATACAAACAGTCGTAGCTCATTATTATATGACCTTCATCCCTTTCTTTATCGCTTAGAGTTAAAACAGCCTGTCATTTGCTACTCGGCCATGGAAACCCGTTTCATTAAGTTGCTTCCAAAGGCAGTTTGGAACTCTGTAATGATTGACAGGCAATTTTTTCAATGCACTACTCTCTTCAGCACCTGGCTACCCTGCTCTGTGTTTGTATGGTCTACTGCTTTGTGGCTGAGCTGTTGTTGTTCCTAGACGCTTCCATTTCACAATAACAGCACTTCTAGTTGATCTAGCAGGGCAGAATGACGTCATAAGAATCTTATGACAGAGCCACATTTAACGCCACTGAGCTTTTCAGTACGACTCATTCTACTGCCAATGTTTGTCTATGAAGATTGCAAGGCTATGTGCTTGATTTTATACACCTGTTAGCAATGAGTGTGGCTGAAGCACCTGAACTCAATAATTAGGAGGGGTGTCCACATATTTTTGGCCAAATAGTGTATCTTTGCTTCTGTGCTTTATTGTTTCTGGCTTGCTAGTTAGTTGCTGAGTTAGCTAGTCATTGCTAAATTGCAAACTGCGCTAAGATTTTTGCATCTTGCGGTTCTGCCTGGGCTCCGCAAGAAGCGAAACGCTAATGTCTAGTGTGACTGCGGCTTTAGAGCCAGTAAGAGGGACTTAGCTTTGAGGAAAGTGAGAGGTAGAAGCTACGCTACATATCTGAACTGATCTTTCTACAGCTGAACCTGCTCAGCGTATATGGCGGCATACGGAAGCAGAAACGATTAGTCACCTCTCCACCACCTCGATGTCAAAACAGAAACGTTTGTCAATGGAGTCCGTTTTCCTTCGGATACAGGACTTTAGCTTGAACATCTCCGTAGGGTTCAGCACCACACCGTTCTGTAAATGAGACATGAAGGAACAGTGAGAGACAAAGAGACAGAGTCACTGGGTTTAATGCCATACCCAGTTAATCTGATATCATACTGCACCTGTTTAGCTGTAGCCTTGGCCTCGGTGTTGGTCATGACGAAAGTCTTGCTCCCTTTCTCATAGGTGCAGTAATGTCGTGTCCAAGTGCAACCCAGAGGTCCTGCAATAAAATGTGAATAAAGCTTCAGTCCATAACATTGTCATTTTACTGAACTTCAATGTCACATTCAACTTAAAGCAAGACACGACAAGCTGAAATGAAGTCTTAGGTCCTGTCAGCTGCATTTATAGCAACACATTCTCCTAACAGCAATCATATGAAAGATGTTAAAACACAATAAAACATCGCCAAAATTCTAACTTTACCGGAGAAGGAAAATACCTACTTTACTTTTAATGTAAGTCAGTGGAACCAGACTTTTTTCCAAGTCATTTTAGGTCATTTCTTTCGGTCCATTCATCATGATATTAACACACAATGTAAACGGAAATGTAAAGGTAATCTTAACTTTTAATGGAAGTTAATGGAGAAATGTTTTTTTTTCCCCCCAAGTAATTTTGGACCAATTCTGTTGATCCGTTCATCTTGACATTTTGAGACAACATAAAAGGCAACTGCTTTTTTCAAATTATCTCAAAAAAGGACTATTTCAATGTTTTTGTAATCTAATATTAATCTAATATTAATTAACTTTAAGAAAGCTTAGTTCCACCCACACTCGGCACAACCACAACATGTCGTACAGTCAGAGGATTTGTAAATATTTGGATATCAGCAAAGATATTCTCATTTTAACTGTCTACCAAATCATAGAGGGGCTGAAAGTAAACAATGAAAATGAGCTCAAAGTTCAGATCTTTTATTTTAGGCTATTTCTTTCCAAATCAAATCAAAACTTCCAAAAAAGTTTCGGAAATACAGCCATTTGCATACATAGCCCGCCACTTATACGGGCTCAAAAGAAATCAGACAATGGCTGCTCAGCTGTGTTACTCCATCATTATAGATAAAGGTCTAGAGCTGATTTCAAGTGTGGTACATTTGCATTTGGAATCTGCTGCTTTAATTCTCACTATGAAGTCCAAAGAACGGAGACTGCCAGTGAAGCAAGCCACTAAGCTGAAAAAATCAAAACAAACCCATTAGAGAGAGAGCAAAAACACTGGGTGGCCAAACCAACTATTTGGTAGATTCTTAAGAAGAAAGAACGCACTGGTGAGCTCAGAAACACCAAAAAGGCCAAGAAGACCACACAAAACTACTGTGGTGGAGGACAGAAGAATTCTCTCTCTGGTGAAGAAAAGTGGCTTACTAATGGTTTACGACAAGATGTAAACAACTGATTAGCAGGAACACCAGCTTAGCGTTTGCCAGAGTTTCTGTGTACAGTTCTGGGAAATCTTATAAAACATTGACCTGTACCAGATTGGTGGGAGGAGACGAGTAAAGATGAGGGAAATGATCTTGGCCCAAAGCAAACTACCTCATGTGCCAAGCATGGCATGGGCATGTATGACTGCCAGTGGAACTGGTTCCCTAGTATCAGGTTCTCTTGATGTGACTGCTGACAAAAGCACCAGGATGAATTCTGTATTCGCTGTATTATCAGGTCAGATTCAGCCAAATATTTCAAAACTCTTTGGACGGCGCTTCACAGTGTCTTCCTTTTTTAGGGCAAAGAAGTGGATTTTTCGGCAATGGTCCAGTCAATCACCTGACCTCAATCCAATCGAGCATGTGTTTCACTTACTGAAGGCAAAACTGAATGTAAAAATCCCCAAGATCAAGCAGGAACTGAAGACAGCTGCAGTAAAGGCAGCAGTAAAGGTGAACTGTCCACTTCAATTTGCTGAAAAATTAAATATGGTCCCTGTAGAGGATGTGGGACACATAGAAAATCAACAAAATATGTAATTTGAGTGGAGGAGGTGTTCAAACTTTTGCATAGAATTGCACTTACATGCTTGAAATTTGTTTCTAACTTCTTTAAGCCTGTTGGTGACATATCCCAGATAGCTCCTCATGCAAAATGTGTACAGCTGCATCCAGGCAAAGGTGGGGTTACTTACTTATCTAATGCTATTTTAATGTTGTTTTTTTCCACTGGGTACTGCAATATGGCATGTTTACTAATCCAAACCCAGAACTGTCTGTCATCACAGCTGTTGGACACCACTAATGATGAGCCTGGTTTTCATATATGGATGTTATGAACTCAATTTGGTGTTCCATGATATGGGCCCTTTAAAATAGAGTTAGATTTGCCCAGCTTTTGTGGTCACTGCATAATTTCATAGCTGTGATGTCATTGTAAAGTGAGAAAACAGTAAATAAAACAAAAACAGTAAACAAATATTACAGCACAGACAAAATATCCTCCATAGACATTTCTGCACAGTAACCAGCACTCCAGCAGGGGGCACTGTTCCTCTTTGCCAGTGTCCAGGTCACAGGAGACGCATCTAAAAGTACACTCATAATCAAACCAGATAAATCAATGTTTAGCCCTTCAGATAAAGCTCTTATTTTGGCATTTCCTTTGCTGTTTGAGGGTACATGAAAGCGGAGATGCGGCCTTAAAAGGGCCACAGTGAGGAGAATTAAAACAGATGAAAGGACAGACACATCAAAGCCGATTGAAACGCACTTCTGCCATGCGGCATTTGCAGAAGCCTGAGAAACGGCGGCTCGTTGCTTGTTGACTATAACTGTGACCAAACATTAGTGCTTGGAAAAATTATGGTTTTCCTGTCCTCTGGCACTGAGACGGGAGGGAGGGAGGGAGGGAGGGAGAGAGGGAGGGAGAAGAGAAGGAGACAGAGAATATTTCTCTGCCTGACACTGTAGAAGAGGACAATGATTGATCATGTCACACACCAAACTCTGATGATTTAGCTTAGAATAATAAAAAAAAAGGTTCTTAACTTTCATGTACATTACCTGTAAGGAATGAATTCTATTTATTTTGGGCTATATCTATTAGTCAATTCATGCATGTAAGAAATACACAATTTCTGCACATGCTAATGCAGTTACTTTATATTTGATTAACTTACAAAATTATAATTGGTGATTGTGGCATGGGCAAAAGTTTGTGCACCATACTAAGTGAGTTCTTACTAACTCTCTTTGTAGCCAGCTAGGAGTCTCTTTATTCTTGTTTTAGGAACTTTCACCATCCCTTCTTTGCAGAACGCTTCTCTAGTTCTGTGGTATTCTCGGGCCGTCCTGCATGCACAGCATATTCTAAAAATGAGGTTTATGTCAGGGGACTATGAAAGCCATTCCAAAAGCTTCAGACTGTGTTTCTTAAAGTAATTCATGTTAGATTTTGAAGTATGTTTTGGATCATTATCCTGCTGTAGAAGCCAGCCTCTTTTTAAGAGGAAACCTGGGTGTGATCTTAGACTCTGAGCTGTGGTTTATCTGCATGTAAACACAGTCACTAAAACAGCTTTTTATCATGTGAGAAAATCACTAAAGTTCGGCCTTTTCTTTCTCAGAGCGACGCAGAGAATCTTGTTCATGCATTTGTTACATGCAGAGTTGATCACTGTAATGATCTTCTTACTGGACTTCCTAAGAAAACTATACATCCTTTATAACTCATACAAAATGCAGCAGCATCCTAACAAAAACAACACAGAGAGATCAGATCGGTCCCGCTTTAAAAGAGCTGCACTGACTGCCTGGATCATTCAGGATAGACTTTAAAGCTCTGCTACTAGTTTTTAAAGCTCAAAATGACCATAAAGCTCCGCTTACATCACAGAGTGTCTGTCTGTTATGTTCCGGCACGCAATCTAAGATCTGCAGATAGTGGCCTTCTACAAAAACTCTCTGTAAAATACAGAAACATGGAGAGACTCGTTCAGTTATTCTGCTTCTAAACTGTGGAGCTCAGTTCCACCTTTTATTAGACAGTCGAGCTCAGAGCTCACTTTTAAGAAGCATCTAAAAACGTGTCTCTTTAACTCAGCGTTTAATTAAAACTATGTCTTGTGATTTTTATCTGCTAATTTGATCTGTTTCATTTTCTTCTGATACTAAATAAATACTAATGATTTCTTGCATAACTATATTTTATGCATAACTATGTGTCTGTAAAGCACCTTGAGCTGCCACCGGCATGAAAAGTGCTACATAAATAAAAATTATTATTATATTATTATTACATTCAGCTTCAGTTTCTTAACTGATCGTTTTACATTTGTTTCCAGAGATGATATTTAGTGGAATCCATTCTTCCATCTACCTATGTGATGTTTCCTGTGCCACTGGCTGTCCCAAAGCCACAAAGCATACTAGAGTCATTATAGACCTCCATTCTTAACAGTAGGCATGGTGTTCCTTTCATCAAATGCTGCTCCTTTTTTCCTCCAAACATCCCTTTGCTGACTGCAGTAAGAGTTCCACTGTTACTTCAACAGTTCGCAGAACTTGTTTTCAGAATGCAGGCTTTGGGAATTCAAGGAGATAAAGAAAGAGAGAGAGAGAGAGAGAGAGAGAGAGAGAGAGAGAGAGAGAGAGAGAGAGAGAGAGACTCACTTTTCTCCTGGACATAGAGGTACCCCTCCATAGTCCACTGGCCAGGGGGTTTCTGGTCCTGATCTGCTGATCTTACTCTCTTCATCAACTTCTCCACCTCCTGCTTGGTGCTCAAAAAGTTGTTCCTTGCCTTCAAACACACACACACACACACACACACACACACACACACACACACACACACACACACACAGACAGCTGCGTTTTAGAAAAGTGACAGAAAGCTGTCATGTCAGCAGTCTTCTCATCTTTTCTCTGACAGCATATGATGCTTTTAAGCTGACAAGCAGAAGAATACCAAGCAGGCAGGCACAAATCTACAGCTCTACAGGGAAGGAAAGAAGAGGACATTCTGCATCGCACATACATAGATTTGTTAAAGAAACAGTTTACACAAAATCTCATTTAGACACTTCAAAATACAGGAAATACAGGATTCAAAAAGATTCATCTGATTTCAAAATGATTGATTTCATTTGTAAATCATTACAGATCAAAGCAGTAAACTGCAAATGGTTTAAGGAGCATAAAGTTTATTATGTAGTTGTACAAGGTCTCAGTATGAACCTCCTCCAGCTGTACAGACAACATCAACGCCATAGTCAAACTCATCCCATACTGGATTGAGCATGTCGGGTGTCGCTACACTCGCGACTCTTTCAGTGCGATTTCGGAGATCATCCAGTGTTATTGGGAGTGGCACATAAACAGAATCCTAAACGTCTCCCCACAAAAACAGTCACACGGCGTGAGATCTGGTGATGCTGGTGACCTTTTTCCTGGAACTGTTGGTACCAACGATGAACGCTCTGAGCTGTTGGACGTTCACGATCAGAAACTCTACGAGCCCCTCTTTCAATTGGATTGTGATTGGTTCCTCGGCACCTCACGGTTGCAAATATATGGAGCTTTGAAATCAGATGAATCTTTTTGAATCACCCTGTACAGTAATTTTGTAATTTGTAATTAATATGTTTATTTCAGTTTATCAAGATGTTTACACCCATAAAAATAAAAGAGGTGCTGAGCGAAAAGGCGTAGTCTGAAGCTATAGCTCGTTTTGACTACCCTTTATAAATCATATACAATCCTGCATTTAAACAATACAGAGTAATATCAAAACAAAAAAAGTCGATCGTCCATGACATGTTTGACGTCTTAAAGTTTGTTTCCTTAGTTTTGCACTGAAGCTGTAAGGCAGCTGAGCCATATGAGTGGAGCTGCCAGATATACTGGTTAGCCTGAGGCCAGCTAATGAAACTGATCACATTTTGTGACTAGGTTAAGAGTCTTTCTCCTCCTCTATAATCTTAAAGCTGATTCGGCCATCAAATTGATGTGATCTTTAATATGTAATCTGTTTTATCTTACACTGAATTTTGAATGTGTGTAGCAGTCTGCTAATAGCATTTGCCAGATGTTTGTTTCAGATACAATTACTCAATGTAGCATGTTTATGTTATGTATAGTTAACAGTTAACTAATTAGGCTAACTTAGCGGCAGTTTTCTAGCTATGCTAAAGCTTTAGCCTCAAGGACGGGGCATTGTATGTTGTTATGGCAAATCTAGTTGGGTTTAGATTCCATAACTTGGTTCAATTTCTGCATAATTAAACTGTTAAGATGTAAAATGAGGTCACTCAGAGTGGTTTGGTGTAAAATACAATATTCTAGAGAAACTTGGTGGTGATAGGAACGAGATGTTTAAAGCTTCTAAAGACTACCTCACTGGAAGCTACTGCATAACACGTTTATGAATAGGCCGACAGAGACGTTGTTTTAAGATAATGTTTTGATGTTTTGGCCTAAAACGTGCTTTTTAAATGACAGTCATGCCGTGGAGGTACATGCAGTGTGTAAAGTACCCAAAGAAAATTACTACTGCATTATGATTAATATTGCATATAAAAACTCAGAAGACATGTGTAGGCTCACTGGTCGTTTTGAATAGTAAATAAAATGGCTATATTTGCAGTACAAAGATATTGTGAATCTTGATTCCTATAACTGCCTTAATAATAAATAAATAAATAAATAAATAAATAAATAAAATTCTCTATAATGTACTATTAAACATCAAACCACTGAATGCCTAAGTATAGAATTATGGATTTTTTTTTTAAAAAACATCTGCAGAATTCCTGATTTTCTTTTTTTTAATTAAAAAAATTAATGTGATCAGATTCTGGGGGCATAACGAATGTACTAATTGATTTCTGTATCAGCGCCTAGGCTGCAGTGCCAGTCTGCTAGTCTAGTGTTCCACTGTTACTCCACTGCCAGTGCTCTGTTAGTGTTCTTCCGTCTGGCTCCGGTCTCAGGGATGTTCTCTCTTATGGGGGGGTTGCACAAATGTCAGCCCCTGCCAGTTTAACTGATACTGCAAGACACGGAATTTCAGCTTGGCGAAGAGGTCATAGTGCATAGAGAGTGTGCTGGCCATGAAAACGCTGACCAGCAGCTTTGGATGATTTATACTTTGAATGGCCTTTCAAATGAGAAAAAAAAACAATCCAAAGAAAGTAGAGGCAAGACTTTGTTCTCCAAAGCTAATCTCTTTACCTGTCTGCTTCCCAAGGCAGTAGGGAGGGAATGTAGTGAAGACCACACACACACACACACACACACACACACACACCAACCAGCCACTTCATTAAGTACAATTCCTTGTTTCTACGCTCATTGTCCATTTTATCAGCTCCACTTACTATATAGGTGCACTTTGTAGTTCTACAGTTACAGACTGTAGTCCATCTGTTTCTCTGCATACTTTATTAACCCCCTTTTACCCTGTTCTTCAGTGGTCAGGACCTCCACAGGGCAGGTATTATTTGGTTTGTGTATCATTTTCAACACTGCAGTAACACTGACGAATAGTCCACCAACCAGAATCATCCAGCCAACAGTGTCCTGTGGGCAGCGTTTGTCGCTACTGTCTAAGAACTAAAGCAGTGCCCAGTCCTGGTCATGGAGATCCACCACCCTGGAGGGTTCAGAACCAACACACCTGGCTCTAATGTTCAGATGACCCTGAAGGCCTTCATTACCTGGATCAGGTGTGTTAGATTCAGGTTGGAGTTAAACTCTGAAGGGTGTTAGGTCTCCAGGACCTGGACTGGGCCACCCTGGGCAAGTTGGACTAAATGGCCAACACAAAGTATACAGCAAGAGATGAGCTAATGTCTCTGAAGTCACAAACACAAGGCGGGCCAACACAGTAGGTGTGTCTGACAGAGTGGACAGCGAGTTTAACAAAACCTATATGGGGGTAAGTGGTATATATATATATATATATATATATATATATATATATATATATATATATATATATATATATATATGTAGAATGTAGTCAGAATGTAGCAGAAAAAGCTGAAGTAGTTGCACTGAGACATGTTCTTACATTCTGCAAGTTGAACTGGAGCTGCTGCTTGTAGGGCTCAAACTCATGGGCCAGTTCATATCCCTCATGGTAGAAATTGAACAGGCCCTGCAAGAAGGCCAGGAGCTGAAACAAACAACAATGGATCCATTTCAGACAGTATAACATTAATATTCTTTTGTTTATTAAGGGGGTTGCAATAATACACACACTGAGAAGAAAATACAGTTCAATTTTAGCCTGAAAATATTTTTGACATCAGATAGGGATACACGATAGGAATCAGTTAAGATCACACGCTTAGAGCAGCTTCTTGCTCTGAACATGTGAACAGCAGTCGGCCAACTTATTACTCTTTGTTTTTTTGAACCGATTTGTGTTGCACTTTTATGATGTAAATAACTATGTTTGAATGCTGCTACATCTAATAGCAAAATATTTTAGCATAACTATACGTGACTCATTGTGCTAAACAGCCAGATGCCACTTCCTTACAATCCAGCACTTTATTTAATTAATGTCGTTTAAATAAGGAATTATTTGCCTAAATAAATAAATAAATAAACATCTAGTGTAAAACCTTCCCAGCAGAGTAGAGGCTGTCACTGCAGCAAAGGCCGACGAACTCCTCATTAAGGCCTTTGATTTCAGAAGAAACGCTGGATAAGCAGGTGTGCACAAAGCATATGAGGGTTAACTATTGGTCAGGACTTCATCAGTAACTGCTGTGGTAAGACACAATAGCTCTGAGGGATCAGACAGAGGCTTTTACGTAAAGCTTTAAAGCTGCTGCTGCAGCACCATGACTCTGCAGATTAGGCTGGCTCGTGTGGCCTCCTCTGAGGGATGGTTGGAGAGGCTTCACCAGCACGAGGCGATAAACACTGCTCCTGTCACACTCAGCCTAGAACATTCTCGTATCGAACCCTTACTCACAGTTTGGAAAGTGCTCGCATAAATACGCTTAATGACTATGGATGAGTCATCTAATTCACGGCCATTTTTACCGTAAGCAAGGTCGAGCGCCGTCATATAGCAGGCTCGGCTCGCGTGGCCAGGAGATTTACGCCTTCACTGTGTGTTTGCCGGGGTCCCTGTCAGAGGATGTAAACAAACGAGAGGGCTCAAGAGCCACTTAGTTTCCATCTGACGCTCTTAGCCTCTTAATACTTGGGAACGTAATGCTTCCTGTTAAAGTCTTGCACTTAAGATGTTAGCGCTGACAAACTCTCTCCAACACACACACACACACACAGACACACAGACACACACACACACACAAACACACAGACAAAAGCCCTTTCAGATTTACAGGACCTGCATTTTAGCGCTGAGATGTGAAAGCACATCAGAACAAATTAAGCCATATTTGAGCTGGATTAGTTTTATCTGGGGAGGTGGTGTAATTTGAATGATTACCAATGAGATTTGTGATTTTAATCCAGTATGAATATGTATTGTTGGTAGTCTGCTAAGTAATAATTCTGGTATTAATTACCTTCTATAGTCTTATTCAAAGTAGATTGGTTTTACCTGGGGAGGTGCCATAACTTTTGCATAGGCCACATTATCTTTTTTTTTTTTTCCCAATATGCAAAATTCAGCAAATAAAAGGTCTGCTCTCTGTAGAGGATGTGTTAACTTAATTTCATTCCTATCTGACCAGGAGTGCTAAACATTTTGCATACAACTGTGTAAAATGACCTCTGTCAGTCCAGACTAAAAGACTCCTTATAACTTCAGGGTGGATGGGCGGAGCTAAACTGCTGTAGGCTTAATAGGCAGATGTGTACACCAATCAGGCATAACATTATGACCAGGGTAAAAGGGGGCTAACAAAGTATCAGAGAAACAGATGGACTACAGTCTGTAACTGTAGAACTACAAAGTGCACCTATACAGTAAGTGGAGCTGATAAAATGGACAATGAGTGTAGAAACAAGGAGGTGGTCATAATGTTATGCCTGATCGGTGTAGAAATCCATTATTTTTTGTGATCTCATAAAAACAGTGAAATCGAAAACTGGCTGTTTTTGAAGGTTTGGACAGCGGAGTGAATGGTATGTTTTGAAACAGTGACAATGTTTACATACTACATCAAACTCTTATTTAAAAGAAAAATTCACTTTTCCATGATTTGGGCCCTTTATATCAAAGTTTTTTTGTTTGTTTTGACCCATTTAATTATAGGCTCAGGCTACCTGAGCTAATCTGGGGAAATTCCACAGATACTTTATTCCATATAAATCAGACAAATCCCTTGCAAATTACATTACCGGACCTCCTCTTGGATACGGCTTTTGACTTTTCTTTAAAGCGATAATTTAGTATTAATTTTGTACCCTATTTTTCCTTTACCCCAAAATTTGTTAATCAGCCAGGATGTCTGGTGTCTGAAGTTTGCTTCTTTACGTTAGCTACATTAGCCTTATAGCTCCAGTGCAAACGAAAGAAGCAAACTTCAGTCAACAAACATGTTTTGGCTCATCGAGAACATTCAAGGCCTTCATAAAAGGTCTCATGATTTCTGTGGAATAAAAAAAAATACATATCTGTAATTTTTAATTTTTGGTTTACACTATTAGTTACTAGAATAATCACGCTTGTTGTATTTAAAATCTTCAAGCATTGTAGTGATACTCTTATTTCACTTCAGCTTTGGTTGGAAACAAAGGGACACCCAAGAGAAAACACACAAGCACTTTTATTTTCTCTGTTTTATCCAGGTAGAGACAGCCATGCAAGCTCTCTCATTGGTTAGGACTTCAGGAGCTGAACAGAAGGCCTAACATATCAGATTAACAAACAGCATAACTAGAAACTAACAGTGGAATCAACCAATCATGGTTTGATTCGGCCTTCTAGATGTTCTAGATACGTCACTGACTGTGATTACAAGTGATCGCCTGACCAGTGCATTTCAGTCAGATGTTTGAAATGAAAAACAGTTCTGTCCCAGTGATCTTTCCTGAATAAGTCATCGTAAAACTGCCGCAAGGTAAAATAGATTTAATATGTTACAACCGTCAAATAAAACAAGAAATGTCGTGTATTTGGGTCATTCTACAGAAACGTCCATTTTTGTGTCCCTAGCATTTACAGATATACTACACTTGAAAAACATGTTAGGGTTACAATTTATTTATATTTTAAAATAAAAAGTAAGTTATTTTAACAGTTACACCTTCTTGAGCCTCAATTTAGCAATATTGTTTTTTAAGTCAATTATCTAGAATTCCAAGCACCACAGAAGAGCTCGTCCTCACAGTCATGTGTAAAGGCTGAGGCCATATTTTAGAAAAAAACACAATACAATAATCTATACACGACTATGGAATATATAAATTAAATGACATAAAGAAAACAAATGCAAAATAAATATTATAAAATATATAATGAAAGTTGTTGTCCCCAGGAGTTGTGTCACTGGTGTTACTACGTACTCTTATTTTGAAATAAAAGTCACACTAATGACATCACTTGACTTCCTTTTACCTGTTTTCTGAGGATCTATGAAGAAAAGCACATGGTGAGTCCACTGAGTCTTTCAGTTATCAGAGATTTTCTCATTTAGCTCATGATTTCATATGAAGCTTTTAGCTGAAGTCGCTGGTGTGACCGACTTTATTCTGAGGTAATTGTGAAAAATAGAACACAAATGGATTAAATTCCATATTTTAGTGGATATTCCATGATTGACATCATGTGGTTTGATGCTCTGTAGCAGCCATTTTGTAAAATGCATTTTTCATTAAAAATGTCTTTGGTGTTCCCTTTATTATGTGTAACACCAGTGAGGATCAGTAACACCAGTGACTCCTATGGAGAGATAGAAAAGTGGACGTTTCTGTAGAACGACCGATTTACATGCCTCAAATGCCTGTGCTCAATCTAGAACAGCTAAAAAAAGTGTTTCTGTGACTCTCCATTAACGCCAATCTACTACTAGAATCGTATGGGGTGCTAGCAGAAATTCTTGTAGAGGTGGTTTTTCACAAAGTTTTGACCTTTATGCTTTGAACTGAAGGCCTGGATCTAATAGTCACCAAGTCACAAATCTCTCACTATTCACCACAGAAACTGTGTACATTTGATTTTTTGCCAAATTATTTGTTTGATGCTCACAGTATGGTTTATACTGGCAACTCTGCACATATTACAAACACACAGGAGTCAAACACAAACAGAATGTATAAACAGTACATCAGTGACTACACATGTGCAGGTTTGGGGGGGGGCTGGAGAGCGGGTGCAGAATGGATAACGTGGTGTGATTTTAAACAGTTTGAGATTTTCACAGATGATGACTCCGCCGCTCATAAACTAGATGATATACTCGCTGTTGGTTTGAAAGCCATTAGTGTCCAGATGGCCCAGTTACCATAATGATGCATAACATGTCCAACATTTGGCCTTTTCAGGGCATATTTCTACAGGGACAGTATGTGTGCATTTGAATGTGTAAGAGCTCAGATAGAAATGAAAAAAACATGGCTAACCTTCCTAATAGAGAGCAGCAAAATATGGCATAAAATGGCCTAATGATTCCTGGAAGCTAATAAATATCTGTAGCTCGCTCTCTTGTGGGTTAGATCTTAAGGAGCTGGACAGAAGGCCTTACACGTTTGATCCACCACCATAATTAGGAAGTGACAGGGGTCTCAACCGATCAGGTTTTGATTTACAAATATCAATTTTGCGAGAAAAAACATTTCTCTAGCACTTCTGGAAGTCCTAGAAATACTATATGGCCAAAAGTATGTGGTCATCTGACCATCACACCTATGAGCTTGTTGGATATCCCATTCCAAAACCATGGCCATTAATATGGAGTTGGCCCCCCTTTGCAGCTATAACAGCCTCCACTCTTCTGTGAAGGGTTTCCACAAGATTTTGGAGAGAGTCTGTGGGAATTTGTGCTCATTCAGTCAAAGCATTTGTGAGATGAGGTACTGATACTGGACGAGAAGGCCTGGCATGCAATCGACGTTTCAATATATCTCAAAGGTGTCCAATAAGGTTGAGGTCAGGGCTCTGTGCAGGCCATTGGAGTTCCTAACTCGCATTAAATCATGTCTTTATGGACCTTGCTTTGTATACAAGGGCACAGTCAAGCTAGAACAGCCAAAGACCCTCCCCAAACTGCTGCCCCAAAGTTGGTGGCATATAATTGTCTAAAATGTCTTTGTATGCTGTAGTACGGCTGAACAATCTGTGGAAAATATCTAATCGCAATTTTTCTGACAAATATTGCGACTGCGATTTGCGTTTAGTGTATCAAACTGCCAGTAAGTTGTGGCTGTGATGTCACAACACACGAAGGTTTTGTTGCCTCTGATTGGTCTAACTCACCTACAGGCATTTCACAAACTCTTACTAGGTTCCACTTCCCTTATAACTTAAAACAATGTTTTTGCTAATGTACCCACATAATAAAGACGGTTCTTCAAGGGTTCTTTAGTAAAGACAATGGTTCTATGTAGAACCATAAGGACTCAGCAACCCATTTGCATGCATAAAAAGTTCTCTCTGTGGTGAAATGGTTCTTCAGATTGATAGAGAATGTGATGTATATGTTTCTATACAGAACCTTTTTGAAAAGAGTTCTCTGTAGGACCAAAATGATGTTCTGTTGTTATAAGCTTGACATCAACAAGCAACAAAGTAACAGTACCAACCCTTTTTGATGATATACAGAACCACATACAGCACATTCTCCAATCTGAAGAACCATTTCACCAGGCAAAGAACTTTTTATGCAGCAAATGGGTCTAAGTGTTCAAGTTCTATATAGAATGACTATATAGAGTGCCATATTTGAAGCCACAAGTTCTTCTGTATGACCCACTCTACTGCTGATGTTTGTCTATGGAGATTGCATGGCTATGATTTTATACACGTTAGCAATAGGCGTGGGTAAAACACCTAAACTCAATAATTGGGAGGGATGTCCACACACTTTTGGCCACATAGTGTAAGTCACTGATTGCAAATATGAACAATAATCTAACCAATGGCTTCACATATCCATGTTCAACCTAGAATGGAAAATGTTCATGTGCACCAGTATCACTTCAGAGCTAAGACACTATTAGATCCTCATATAGGGTGTAAAAATGAACATAATCTGAGAGCAGGATTTTTTTCTTATTTTCTTGAGTTTTGAATTTTATGGCCCAAACTAAAAGCCTGGCTCTAATAGTCAAGGGTCACCACTGTTACTTACATATGCACACTACATAACACAAAACATGTGGCAGCCAAAAAGCTCACAAGACGAGATCTTACCGGCTCGACAAACTCAAACTTCTTCTTCTCCTGGACCTCCTGGATTTTAAAGACGTACTCCAGTGAGGCATCGTAGAAAAGCTGCCTCTCCTTATCAATCTGAGTGTCAGCCTGCGGAGTGACAAAGAAGGACATTACCTTGGAGATGGAGAGGAAGTCATCTGGGCTTGTTTGTGCTGAATTTAATGGCTACATCAGTAGCTTTTGGTCAAATTTGGCCACTATGTAAACAGAGTATCATCTGTGAACAAGCTTTGATGTGGAGATAAGAAGTAAAGCGCTGACTGATGAGTCTAAATTTGAAGCGTTTAATTTTGAAATCATGTAAATATGTGTAACAGTTTTAGAAAAAGAAAAACAGCTGACGTGTAATGGAAAATTGTCATTTCTCTAACATAGGTGGCATTAATAATATCTTGTATATGTAAAGCCCATTGCAAACAATGTATATTATATAAAAAAAAAAAAAACCTTTGAAAGTGCTCTATAATGCATTTTGGGCCGAACCCTTCATTTGTATTTGGGAACGTGCGAAGCAGAAAATGCGACCAACTTCTAGGACTGAACTTTGGAGGTGTGGAAAATTATGCATGCAGATTTTTTTGAGAAAAGAATGCAACCTGTAATAAAGGCGGCGATTGGACACACCTAAATACTGAATCAAAACTCAACTATATTAAGCTGTTGAGGTGAATTTGTCATTTAAATGAGTTAAACGTTTTCTGCTTTTTTGCTGATGCTGAAAAATGAATAATTTCCGAGTTCTGACTGGAAATTATTTAAACGATGGGCTGGTCGCTTACTTGTGCACAGTACTGTGCGTCTGGTATTTCTGATTCATATTCATAAAAGCACTGGATGTACCGTCTCGCACAGGAGACACAGATGTGATCTCACCACAGAGCCTTTAATCATGATCGTCTAGGTTTGGGATTTGAACAACTATGACAAACAGGAGGTGGTTTCCCCTTGTGTGTCTGACTCACCTCTTGCAGTAATGATTCCTTTTTCTTGGAGGACAGGTTTAAATGCTTCTCCAGGGTTGAGTAGTACTTCTCTGTCTCTTTGTCGAACTTCTTTTTTCCTTCCTATCACAGGCGGAGAAAAAATGAATTACATGTAAGTGGACTGTGGAACTGGGCACATGAATGAGGAAATAAGGGAAAGACTTGTGTAATTCTAGATCAGACACAGCACTGCTGTGTCTGATCCACTCAGACCAGCACAACATACACTAACACACCACCACCACGTCAGTGTTACTGCAGTGCTGAGAATGATCCACCACCCAAATAGTACCTGCTCTGTGGGGGTCCATGGGGGTCCTGACCACTGAAGAACAGGGTAAAAGGGGGCTAACAAAGTATGCAGAGAAACAGATGGACTACAGTCTGTAACTGTAGAACTACAAAGTGCGCCTATATAGTAAGTGGAGCTGATACAATGGACAATGAGCATAGAAACAAGGATCGGTGCATGTCTAGTGCAGGAATAAGAGGAACCAGTGCACTGTCCAGTGTTGTTGCACAAACATGATCTGCATAGAAGGGTCATCAGAGAGAAATCATGCATGTGACCTCATCACAAAAGTCTGAAGTATGCAAAACATCTAGATACACTAGTTTCTTTTCGGAATTAAGTGCTGTGGAATGAAGAAGTAAAAATCGAACTCTCTGGCTGCGATATCTGAATATATTCAGAGAAAAAAGGAGCAGCATTTGATGAAAAGAACACCTTGCCAGCTGTTAAGCTAAGGGGTGGATCTATTATGCTGAAGAAACTGAAGAAGAAAAGAGGCTGGATATTACGACAAGGCAATCTTCCAAAATCTACACTAAGTCCACCATTAACTACCCCAAGAAAGACAAGAAGAAATTTTGGGAAAGGTCCTCACCATCCTTAGACTTTTATTATATTATATTAATATTAGCACTGAACATTTGTAGCTAGATTTCAAACATGCTTGCAAGACAACCTCTGAATATTTCTGAACTAGAAGTTTTCTGCAAGGAAAAGTGGAAAAAATCAAATCTAACTCAAGCATAGAAACATTATTAACTGGCTACAAGGAATGTTTGAAGGCTTTTCCAATATGTTAAATTCAGCTGTAATTTAAGTTTGTTCCATGCAGAGGTGGTATAAACTTTTTTTCACAAAATGTGTAATTTCACCAGCAGTGCATACATTTTCACATCCATCTGTAAGCTGTGATGTACCTGCTGAGCCACTAGGTGGAGCTCTAATTCTGCATCTGTATTCAAGGACCATTGCTCAGATCACAGAGAGATTACTTTGTGATATCTCCTGTACTTTTTCAACCAGTGATTTACAGCAAGGCTATTTCAGAGCAAGATTATCTGGTGAGTGGAAGAACGCCACACTACACAAGCGGGAACAGTTTCTCGAACCGAGTTTAAGGCTCACAGAATGATACGCCTAAAACAGCTGTTTTGGCCTTGAGAACTTCACCTTGTTTTCTCCAAAGGCATGACCAAGCACTGCAGCAATGCTCACACAGAAGTGGGCAATATGATGATATGCTGTTATTTTTACAGCTGTTGCTAATAATTCTTCAGTAATTAATTGATTTCTAGATTATATTATTGATGCACTGATTTATTTAGCCAACAAAAGGCTATAAAACATACAAAAACTATTCATGCATGAACAGGGGCTTGAATGATTTCGATGTTGCTTCAAAGTTGTTAAATACAAAAAAGACAATGCAGTAATGCCTACTGAAAATAACAGGCCATAATATCAGTGGCCTGCAGGCTAATTCCACACTGCTTAAGTCATATTATTATTTTAACAAGAAGCAATTTACAATCTGTAAAAGCATGATTTATTAAACCTACATTAAGAACTACCAAACCATACAAAGAACAGTCAGCAAAGTTTTGAGCGAGAATGCAAGCGTGTTTATTTTCTTCAGTTTAAACTGTTCTGTGTAAAATCAGAGACCAACTTTTTGTTTATTCATTTTCCAGTCAACAGCAATTAAGTACAAGTTATTCATTTTTCCGGTTTCCAACTCGAGTTTAAAAAAAAGGGACTCCTAATAACCACTGTATCACGAGAAGCCGAAACGGCAACCAACGTCTAGGACTGAACTTTGGAAAAACATCCCTGCTGATTTCTTTCAAAACCTAAAAGCAAGTCTCTTGGAAAATAAGGCTCAATCTGACTTTTGCACAGTACTGTTTTTGCCATGCTGGGCAAAGCTCCTTTTTTCAGTGCACACTGAAATAGTGCACAGAAAGTACATGTGAAAAGTAAAAAGCAACAAAAATAACAACTGAATATGCAAATTGATTTATAGTTTTAAAGTAGTCAATAACATTGCAATATATTATATTATACAACAGTTACAGTGGTGTGAAAAAGTGTTTGCCCCTTCCTGATTTCTTATTCTTTTGCATATTTGTCACACTTAAATGTTTCAGATCACCAAACAAATTTAAATATTAGACAAAGATAACACAAGTAAACACAAAACGCAGTTTATAAATGAAGATCTTTATTATTAAGGGAAAAAGAAATCCAAACCTACAGGGCCCTGTGTGAAAAAGTGATTGCCCCCTAAACCTGATAACTGGTTGAGCCACCCTTAGCAGCAACAACTGCAATCAAGCGTTTGTGATAACTGGCAGTGAGTCTTTTACAGCGCTGTGGAGGAATTTTGGCCACTCATCTTTGCAGAATTGTTGTAATTCAGCCACATTGGAGGGTTTCCGAGCATGAACTGCCTTTTTAAGGTCATGCCACAGCATCTCAATCAGATTCAGGTCAGGACTTTGACTAGGCCACTCCAAAGTCTTCATTTTGTTTTTCTTAAGCCATTCAGAGGTGGACTTGCTGGTGTGTTTTGGATCATGGTCCTGCTGCAGAATGCAAGTGCGCTTCAGCTTGAGGTCACTAACAGATGGCCGGACATTCTCCTTTAGGATTTTTTGGTAGAGAGCAGAATTCATGGTTCCATTTACCACAGCAAGTCTTCCAGGTCCTGAAACAGCAAAACAGCCCCAGACCATCACACTACCACCACCATGTTTTACTGTTGGTATGATGTTCCTTTTCTGAAATGCTGTGTTACTTCTACGCCAGATGTAATGGGAAATACACCTTCCAAAAAGTTCAACTTTTGTCTCGTCAGTCCACAGAGTATTCTCCCAAAAGTCTCGGGGATCATCAAGATGTTTTCTGACAAAACTGAGACGAGCCTTCATGTTCTTTTTGCTCAGCAGTGGTTTTCATCTTGGAACTCTGCCATGCAGGCCATTTTTGCCCAGTCTCTTTCTTATGGTGGAGTCGTGAACCCTGACCTTAACCGAGGCAAGTGAGGCCTGTAGTTCTTTGGAAGTTCTTGTGGGTCTTTTGTGACTTCTTGGATGAGTCATTGTTGCGCTCGTGGGGTAATTTTGGTCGGTCGGCCACTCCTGGGAAGGTTCAGCACTGTTCAATGTTTTCGCCATTTGTGGATAATGGCTCTCACTGTGGAGTCCCAAAGCTTTAGAAAAGGCTTTATAATCTTTTCCAGACTGACAGATCTCAATTACTTTGTTTCTCATTTGTTCCTGAATTTCTTTGAATCGCAGCATGATGTCTAGCTTTTGAGGATCTTTTGGTCTACTTCACTTTGTCAGGCAGGTCCTATTTAAGTGATTGCTTGATTGAGAACAGGTGTGGCAGTAATCAGGCCTGGGTGTGGCTAGGGAAATTGAACTCAGCTTTCCAAAGATGTGATAAACCACAGGGGGGCAATCACTTTTTCACACAGGGCCCTGTAGGTTTGGATTTCTTTTTCCCTTAATAAAAAAGATCTTTATTTATAAACTGCGTTTTGTGTTTACTTGTGTTATCTTTGTCTAATATTTAAATTTGTTTGGTGATCTGAAACATTTAAGTGTGACAAACATGCAAAAGAATAAGAAATCAGGAAGGAGGCAAACATTTTTTCACACCACTGTAGTTCCGGCCACACAAGCTGATTGGTTGAGAGGCGTTCTAACTGTGCTGTTATTTCATAACATCATATTTTTTTCACAAACATTGTATCACTCCGCTGAGACGCCGTTGCTAAGCAACAACTTTGACAGCTGTAGGAGACGCTCAAGCTATTTGAATGTTTTTACTTCTTACTTTGCCACAAACAGAAAATGGACACTTTTAAGATCACATTTGACCGACAGCCGATTTGGTCAGACTCTGAAGATGAGACGACACTAAAATCCCAAACTGTCATCACCACTGAGCAGCTTTTCAGTCGGCAGCTGTGACAGCTAAACAACCTGGAATCAGCCAGAAATGAACTGGCTGATTGGATGAATACACTAAATTCCCAAACTGGTGATGACAGTTTGGGAATTTAGTGTGAGGAGCTGGAGAACGAACTGCCGGCTGTGCAGTAAGTGGGCGGAGTTCGTTACTCTGACGTAGCAACAAGCTGCTCGTTAAGGAACTATAATTTGGCAAAGGAACTGCGAACAATTAAACAACAACCTTAAATGCCACGTTCACAGCCCAATTTATTATTATTATCATTATTATTATTCATTATTTATTCAACTGTTGTATAAAAGCAATAGAACACTCGAGGAGTGTGTTATCGCCAATAACATCATGGCTGTGATGATCTACGGTGACCAATTCACCTCTGTGTTCTATTTCTTAAATATACACTTTTCTGTATACGACATGCGTAAAGTCAGTACTTCTAGAACAGTGAACAACTGCATCATAAAGGCAGGTTTAGATCAGTTATAGAGAGCCTGTAAATAACAACTTCAAACTGCATGGAAAGTTGCTGATTGGATGTCAGCTCATTATGACATCATGTAATTCATTTATTTTGACCAACTGCTTGACTTTTTGCTCCTGTCTCTTCTTAAATAGTTTAACCTTGACTGAGTTTTTCCATAGCATTTTTAAAAAGTGGTCCTGCTGTTAAACTGGTGCTTTCTGCCCATTCCAACTCACAAATTTCAAAAAGTTATGATGCACATCATATATCATAAAAATATGACAGGTTTCATGATGTTTGCCATGCTGTTCACCTTTATTTTCAAGACCGAGTGCCTGTTTTCCC